TTAAGAGCTTACGGTATGATGGTACAGGAGAAAAAGATATTGAAAAGATGCTACACATATAAGAAGGATTCGAAGTCATTCAACAATATTTGTAAATGTATGTATAAATATATGTCAGTTAACACTATGTATGCTACAGGAGAATCCTGTGATTCCAAAATATTGTATACATGTACAAGTACTGGATAGAAATTTATGTCTCTTGCGTTGTTTCTGATGAATCCCTTAAGTAAATGCTTCAATACAAGATTTTCGTGATTCTCTGATTGCTCATTTCCCCACCATGGATATTTTACTGTGCTTATATGGCAGTTGTCCCTTCTGGTGTGGCCTGAGCTAGTAGCCAGGGGCTGTATAATGCTATATATATATATTTTTTTTTTAATTTATTTATTATTATTATACTTTAAGTTGTAGGGTACATGTGCATAACGTGCAGGTTTGTTACATATGTATACTTGTGCCATGTTGGTGTGCTGCACCCATCAACTCGTCATTTACATCAGGTATAACTCCCAATGAATGCTATATTTTATACTGCGTGTTTCACATGAGGATAAGCAAAGAAACAGAGCTGTTGTTAGCTCAGTTTTGCAGTCTCTGTAACCCATGTCATTGAAAGTTGTGGTTAGTCATAACCTGAGAAAAGGTAGTAAAGGTAACTAGAACCAGTTTTGTGTTATAATATTAGCATCTTAAATTATTAAAGATTAAATTACAGACCCAGTTCAGAATTCAAGATGATAAACTTTGCTTATATAAATTAGGTCACTTACAGAATTACATTTAGGTGTTGAGTTTTTACCTGTAGTCACAGGGAAGGATCCTGGGAGATTGGAAATTCAGCCACAAATGAGTTTTTCATGTAAGAACTCTTGATATGGCGGTAGAGAAATTCAAAAGACTTGACACAGTTAAGGTTGAATTGACTTTATGTGCAATCTCAATTGTAGAGTGGAACTCTGAGGTTGTATGTAAATCATTTTGTAACAAGATAAAATATCTGCAGTAAAATCAGTGCTACAGGCAATATTTCTGATTCTGTACTCTGTGGAGTCATTTTTGGAGGCATACTTGGGTTAAAAATTAGATGAAAAGTATTTAGTGGAAATCAGACAAAAAGATTTAGCTATACTTGGGTTAAAAATCAGATTAAAAATATTTAGTAATCAGATGAAAAATAGAGAGAAAGAAGAGATCATTCTCCTAGGGCTTTGCCCACTAGAATCATTTTACTTTTGCAGGTTTGCAGGGTTGAGTGTGAGCTAGTTCACTCTCCGCATCTTCGACCCTTGTCAAGTAAGGTAAATCACATACTAAGGCAGTAAGAAAATGACAGAGGGTTACGGTTGCTAGTCATATGTTAACACAGATACCTGACTTTGTCCCTGAGACTTGGCAAGTGTTCGGGTGAGTCACTGAAGCTATAGCATGCGGACTTTATCCTTTCATAGGAAATACTTGGTCTAGCAAGCTGAAATTCTTGTGATTTTAAAACTATGAATGCTCTAGCAGTATATCCCAAATAATTACAACAGCCCCTCCTTATCCACAGTTTTAGTCACCTGTGGTCATCTGTGGTCCGAAAATATTAAGTGGATGTGGTAATAAACTGTTAACATTGCTGAACTCAGAGACCTTGTGGGAGGAATGTGCCTTGCATGTTGGAGAAATAGCAAGGAGGCCATTGTGGCTGGAGCTGAGTGAGTAAGAAGGGAATTTAGTAGGAGATAAAATCAGAGAAATGAGGTGAGGATGGAAAGATGAAAATCTAGGTTGTCTACCTAAAGGTCATGTGGATGACCTTTAGCCATCGTGCAGATTTAATCTGTATGGATATCATATGTGGATGGCCAGGGCCCTGCAGCACACTGTGAGCTGGTTGTCTTTTACATTTTTTTTCTTTTTGGGAGACAGAGTCTCGCTCTTGTTTCCCAGGTGGGAGTGCAATGATGTGACCTCAGCTCATTGCAACCTCCCCCTCCCGGGTTCAAGTGATTCTCCTGCCTCAGCCTCCCGAGTAGCTGGGATTACAGGCACCCGCCACCATGCCTGGCTAATTTTTTTTGTATTTTTAGTAGTAATAGGGTTTCACCATGTTGGCCAGTCTGGTCTCGAACTCCTGACCTCTGGTGATCCACCTGCCTCAGCTTCCCAAAGTGTTGGGATTACAGGCGTAAGCCCCTGTTCCTGGCCTTGTCTAAAATTTTACTCTTAATGAAAGGGAGAACTATTGAAGGGTTTGCATGTGAGCAATACGGGCGAGGTAAGATTTCTCCTATAATCCCTTAGGATCTCTGACTGAAACTGACAGGAGACAGGTTAACAGGAGAAAAGCATACTAATTTTATTTTGTAATTTTTACATGTACATAGGAGCCTTCACAAGAAAAGAAGATAAAAGGTCTGGGTTGGATAAAGAGTAGTAACTTGTGAAAATGCAAGAAGACAAAGAGGTTTTGGTTAGAGCAGTTAATTGTGGAAAAGTAACTAGGAAGATAAAGGGTGAATTAACAAGATTTTTATGTTAGGTTTCTCTCAACTGCAGTTTGCTGTGTCTAGTGATAGGTATGTCTTCCTTTCTCCTTTATAGTGAGGGGGAGTTTTACCTTCTGATTTTAGGAAGAAAAAAGAAGATGAGAATACCTTTCTCACACTTGCAGTTTTTCAAGTATCTTTAACTCAAAAATAATCAGTATGCCAAAGTGGCATATTTTGGGGTGGCAAATTTTGACCCCCTAAAGTAACATGACTTGTGTTAAAAAGGATCATTTTGGTTTTGAAAGTAAACCGAAGCTGGCAGGGGAAACTAGCTGAAAGGTTATTGTAGTAAACAAGGTGAGAGCTGATTAGTGTTCTCTCTTGTTAACTGTAAACCAAAAATAAAATTCCAAGTCCCTGTACACCCCAACCAGTTGAATGGACCCCTCCTCTTGTTCAAGGTCACTCCTAAGTTAACTCGAAAAACTAGTTCAGACCGTGAAGGGAAGTGGGGGTTGGACATTGCTCCTCATATTCTCCTTCCTTTGAAATTCAGGCACAGCTGACCAGCATTTAACATTAAAACAGCTCTTAAGACTGACAAAGCAGACTCTGTAGCAGTAAGATACCAACATGACAGATAACAGGCCCTAAAAGAAGGGCTCTGAAAAGGCCCTATATTTTACCCCAAAATATATTTATTTGACATGTTTTGAAATGGTCCTGCAAAGCTCTCTTATGGGGAAAATCATAGATTTTTCCTTCCCTTTCCAGGTCTTTTTCCTGGCCCAGGAGAGAATTAACTAAGAGTCTGGCACCTTTTAAAGTCTGATAAGAAACATTTACAATCTATTCTTTGTGAAGCTTGCTACCTGGAGGCTTCTACATGATAAAAACCTTGGTTTTCACCACTCCCTTCTATTGATTCCAGCTCTTTAGATAAACTCTTACAACCAATTGCCAATCAGGAAATTTTTGAATCTACCTATGATCTGGAACTGCACCACGCCCCCCCATACACACACCCCCACCCCACCCCTTTGAGTTCTCCTGCCTTTGTGGATCAAACCAAGGTACATGTTACATATATTCATTGATGTCTTATGTCTCCCTAACATGTAGAAAACCAAGCTATAGCCCAACCACCTTGGGCACATGTTCTCAGAATCTCCTGAGGCTGTGTCATGGTCATGCCCTTAACCTTGGCAAAATAAACTTCTAAACTGATTGAGACCTGTCTCAGATACTTTTTGGTTTATAGAATGTACCACATTTTATTTATCTCTTCACTTGCTGATGGACATTTGGATTGTTTTCAGTTTTGGAGTTGTGAACCCAGAAAATCTGAGACAGGTCTCAGTTAATTTAGAAAGTGTATTTTGCCAAGGTTGAGGATGCGCACCCATGACACAGCCCCCAGGAAGTCCTGATGACATGTCCCCAAGGTGGTGAGGGCACAGCTTGGTTTTATACACTTTAGAGAGACATGAGATATCAATATATGTAAGAAGTACATTGGATCTGTCTGGAAAGGCGGGACAACTTGAAGCAAAGGCAGGAAGACTCAAAACAGGGAGGGAGTTTTTAGGTCATAGATAGGTGCTACACAAATGGTTACATTCTTTTGAGTTTCTGATTAACCTTTCCAAAGGAGGCAGTCAGATATGCATCTATCTCAGTGAGCAGAAGGGTGACTTTGAATAGATGGGAGGTAGGTTTGCCTTAAGCAATTTTCATCTTGAGTTTTCCTTAGTGATTTTGGGGGCCTAAGATATTATCCTTTCACTGGGTATTGGGACAAAAGTGCCTTTGAATATTTGTTTGAAGGCTCTCATGTGGACATGTTTTCCAGTGTTTTAATCTCTAGGAGTGGAATGGCTAGGTAATGAAGTAGGTCTGTATTCAACTCCTAAGAAACTGCCAAACCATATTCTAGAGTGGTGTGTCATTTTATATGTCTGTTTATAGTGTATTAGAGTTCCAGGTGCTCCCACGTCCTTGCTGGCAGCCTTCTTTTTATCTTAGCCATTTAAAGAGTATTTAAAGTGGTATCTTATTGCGGTTTTAATTTGCATTTTCTCTGATAGTTAATGCTGATGAGGGATGTCTAAGTTTTAATCTCCTCATCATCAAGAAAGGTTATGTTATCCTCACGGTTTGAACTTTGGTTCCTTTCAGCTGAGGCACAAAATAACTTTTAAAAACAATCAAAAGACATATTATGACATAATAAATTGGCAGTTGCTTATATAGTTTAATGGTTTTGTTTCTGGGAGACTCACTTGAAGTGGGAAAATATAATCCTGCTCTTCAATTTCAATTAATTTTCACTACATTTTAATTTTACGTTAAAGTCATTTATGTCAAATAGTATAAGTGTATGCTCTGTCTTGTGTAGTGTCTATTACTTTGTATATTATTTAGGATAAAAATACATTCCATGTGGTAATAATTGGGCTAGGTAAATGTAAATTGTTTCAAAACATTCAACTAGAATCAGGGTTTTAATTTTTCCCCCAGGTTCCTGATGTTATTAGCAGCATAAGGCAATTATCTAAAGCCGCCATGAAAGAGGATGCCAAACCCAGCAAAGATAATGAGGACGCCTTTTACAACTCTCAGAAGTTCGAAGTCCTGTACTGCGGAAAGGTGACCGTGACCCACAAGAAGGCCCCCTCAAGCCTCATTGATGACTGCATGGAGAAGTTCAGCCTGCACGAACAGCAGCGCCTGAAGATCCAAGGCGAGCAGCGCGGTGTGGACCCGGGAGAGGACCTGGCTGACTTGGAGGTGGTGGTGCCCGGGTCCCCTGGAGAATGCCTGCCGGAGGAGGCGGACGGCACCGACACCCACCTTGGCTTACCTGCCGTGGCCAGCCAGCCTGCCCTGACCAGCTCTCGGGTCTGCTTCCCTGAGCGGATTTTGGAAGATTCTGGCTTTGATGAGCAGCAGGAGTTTCGGTCTCGGTGCAGCAGTGTCACCGGAGTGCAAAGGAGAGTTCACGAGGGCAGCCAGAAATCCCAGCCACGACGGAGACACGCGAGCGCGCCCAGTCACGTCCAGCCCTCGGACTCGGAGAAGAACAGGACCATGCTCTTCCAGGTACGCCTGGCCGGGCGCTGTCTGCCCTTGCCCCAGAAGGTGCCAGACGGAAGCAGCTGGGCATCCAGTTCCTCCCAGCTCCACCTCTATATAACGAATAATCTAACTTTTATTTGTTTTCCCATTCAAAGCAGATAAGGCAGGTGGAGGAAGAGTGCACAGCAAAGTAGGGAAGGGGCGAGAGACAGACGTGGAGTGTGGAGTGTAAGAAGTAAGACAGTAGGAAAGGAGGAGGAGGAGGAGGAAGCAATTCGTGGAGCGTCCTGGACACCTGGTAGAGAGAATAAGAATCTATCACCAGCATTTGCCTTGGGGTGATTCTCGAATAAATGCTTAAAAAAAAAAATTTGTAGGTAGGGCGCGGGGCCTCACGCCTGTAATTCCGGCACTTTGGGAGGCCGAGGTGGGCTGATTACTTGAGGTCAGGAGTTCCAGACCAGCCTGGCCAACATGGCAAAACCCCTTCTCTATTAAAACAAAAGAAAAATTAGCCGGGCGTGGTGAGGGTGCGCCTGTAGTCCCAGCTAATCAGGTGCTGAGGCGGGAGAATTGCTTGAACTGGGGAGTCGGAGGTTGCAGTGAGCTGAGATGGACCCCTGCACTGGAGCCTGGGCAACAGAGCGAAACTCTGTCTCAACAACAACAAAATTGTGGAAAGTCAGTCTTTAAAGATATGAATCTGAGAGAGTGCGATTTAACAAGGAGAAACAAGGGAATTGTTTTCTAGAGAAGAAAAAACTCCAGAGACTCGTATGTGTATTTTGAGTTGAGAACACACCAATTTATGCTGTCACACCGAAAGAGGTTAACGAAACACCATTGACCTAAAAATGTACTGAATTGGATACTAAAATAATTTGATGCAAGCTGTAGTATTGGTATAAAAGATCATTCTTAATTCTAAACGTTTTTGAATGTTGTACAGGATATAGAAGGTGTCAGGTTCCACTTAAAATAACTTAATTCATAACAATACCCTGTAGAGAGTCTTTAATCCTCAGCTTGTAAGATTTGAGTTTCCTTGGGGGAAAAAAAAAAAAAAGGACTGACTATCTTTTTAAAACTTACTTTAAAGATTTCCTGAAAAGGAAATTCCGGAGTATTTTGGTAAACAGTACCGGTGTGTAATATCAGAAGTTTGCTTTATCAGAAGTTCATGAGGCTTTTTTTCCACAAATGATAATATTTTATTATAGAAAAAACATCCCAAATGCAGGATTTCATAAACACTGGCAGGCGAACAAATACAGCTTCCAAAGTAAATTCAAAGTAAAGAGGCAGCACTTACAAACATTTCACGGTAAGGAGAAAATGTGATGCTCTCCTGCAGAAGTGCTCCCAAGCAGAACACAAATGTGGCTCCATATCCGTGAAGGCATCAGATTTCCTTTCTGAGCTCGGTATGCCCATTTCAACAATCGAAAATGATGGCAAGAAGTGGCATTGATTGTATTACTACTTGATTAAAAAAATCACACCCCTGATTAAAAAAAAAATTAAGAGACAGGGTCTTGCTCTGTCATCCAAGCTGGAGTGCATTGGTGTAATCACAGCTCACTACAGCCTTGACCTCTGGAAGTTCGTATTTTGTTTTTTTCGTTGGTGGTGGTTTTGTTTTTATTGACCTCAAGGTGTGTCATTAAAGACTCTCTAGTCTTCAGTGACGTGTTAACTGAATTTCCCCTTTTCTTGGGGCTATCAGATTTGTTCTTTTTTTAGCTAGTCACAGTTCTTGTTGTTAATTTTTCTGAACGGTTTATTTTCAAAAATTTTAATTCATTAGCCCAATTACAGATATATCCTTTTGCTGACCATTTGGGAGAAAGTATGATTATAACTTATTTTTTAAAGTTACTATTTTTAGAAATCATGAAGTGAGAAAAGGTTGCACTTTTTTTAAGAAGACAGTTGTTTCTAATCTGAAAAATATTTGTTTGTGTCTTATAATAATTGAAGACTAACTTAATTTTCATACTTTTTTTGACAGAGGAAAGAAACATTTTTGAGGCAGCTGATATTTGGGGTTAAAAATATTGGTTGGATTAGATGTTTAAGTACATATGAAATAGATATATCTGGGATATTGCATTTGAATCTATATTATTTGTTTAATATTTGATTATAAAGTAAGATGTAGATCCTTATGAATTGAAATTAATTGGAATGCTTTTATTTTTAAGGTTGGGCGATTTGAGATTAACCTTATCAGTCCAGACACTAAATCGGTTGTACTAGAAAAGAATTTTAAAGATATCTCCTCTTGTTCTCAGGTACGTATCAAAGTATATCATAGTATGTGAAGAGACCAATTCAGTCTTGTTTCAAAATTAACAATAAAATAACTGGGCTTGACCCCTTCAAATTTTAATTTTTTTTTGAAATTTAAATTTTTATTCTTAAAGGGAATTTGTCTTAAACTAAGGGCTCCTGGGTTTTTGTCTATGGCAGTGTCAAAATCCTGCCCAGGTCCCTTGGTGTCTGTCCTAACAGTTTGTCCTCATTTTAGTCAACTCTTTCTTACTGTAATGCCACTTCATCAAATCCCCTCCAGTGATGGAATTTTTGTGGTGGTGAGTTCTTTTGAAAATACCTGCACAGTTCGTTCCTTGGAATGCTGGCCTGTGGGACTTGTGGGTATAACTGAGTCATGCTTGCTCTTTATACCATAGTAGGTAGTAAAAGGAGAATGAGGGTTTCAGCTTATTTTAATGTGAATACTAAATTTTGAAAATATTTTTGTAGTTTTGGTCTTTTATTTATTTTTAATTCACAAACTGTGTATTTAAATGTTTTTAAAATAATCAATACAGCCAAATATGTACAAGATTATATTAGACATTGAAGAGATTACAAGATTAAAAAGAACTTTTGAAGATGTCAGATGGAAGGAGTATCTAAATCTAAATGTAGGGAGATTTAAAAATGCACCTCTAAGGAGGTTCCTGGAATTGAGAATTCACTTCTTTTCTGCCTAGTGACTTAACTTACCTTCAAGGAGTTGGATGTTGCCAAGGTCCTTACTTAGATTTTAATGTCACTTCTTCTCTGCTTAGTGACTTGCCTTTAAGGAGCTGGATCTTGCCAAGGTCCTTACTTATATTTTAATGTTGAAAAATCATGCCGGCCTATCTTGTTTTCTTTATTTACTATCTTTTTTTTTTTTTTTTTTTTTTTTTTTGAGACGGAGTCTTGTTTTCTTTATTTACTATCTTTTTTTTTTTTTTTTTTTTTTTTTTTTTTTTTTTTTTTTTTTTGAGACGGAGTCTCGCTCTGTCGCCCAGGCTGGAGTACAGTGGCCGGATCTCGGCTCACTGCAAGCTCCGCCTCCCGGGTTCACGCCATTCTCCTGCCTCAGCCTCCTAAGTAGCTGGGACTACAGGCGCCCGCCACCTCGCCCGGCTAGATTTTTGTATTTTTTTAGTAGAGACGGGGTTTCACCGGGTTAGCCAGGATGGTCTCGATCTCCTGACCTCGTGATCCGCCCGTCTCGGCCTCCCAAAGTGCTGGGATTACAGGCTTGAGCCACCGCGCCCGGCCTATTTACTATCTTTTTAAAAATAATTTGAAGTTAGCATTGCTGTAGGTATGATATTCAGACATTCTTCCCTTTGAAGATAACAAGACAGTTTTTGTAGATTTATTTATTTATTTATTTATTTATTTATCTGGAGACAGGGTCTTCCTCTGTCATCCAGGCTGGATTGCAGTGGTGTGATCATGGCTCATTACAGCCTTGACCTTTCCGGCTCGAGCAATCCTCCCACCTCAACCTCTCCAGTAGCTGGGACCACAGGCATGTGCCACCATGCCTGGCTACTTGTTATTTTTTTATTTTTTTAAATTTTTTGTAGAGACGAGGTCTCATTATGTTGCCCAGAATGGTCTTGAACTCGTGGCCTCGAGATCTTCCTGCCTTGGCCTCCCAAAGTGCTGGGATTACAAGCATGAGCCACCATGCTGGCCAGTTTTTGTACACCTTGTTAATTGTTTATCTCAGTGTCAGCTAATACAGTTCACATCTGATATTTTGTTTTAATATACTTTCTATTATATGGAGACATAAAATTACTTTGTGTAGATAAAAATTTTCTACTCTAATAACTTTGTCAGCAGTTGACATAAGGAGGAATATATTGTAAATTTCTAAATTCCTACTTAAAGGACACAGAAATTTTAACTGAAAAGTATTTATTAAGCATTCTTGTAATTACCAGTTTACTGGTGGTCCCTGGGAGATCATAAGTGCTGTGAGGGCAGGTATCTAAGGCTGTGGTGTCATTCTGTAGGACATCGGAGTCAGATGTACTCAGACAGAGCTTAACCCTGAGGTGTTCGATACATGTTGAATCAATGAGCACTTTACACGTGGTGGGCCTTATGCCAAATACTAAAGAGAAAGTGATGTCTGAACCCAAGCAGTTCCTACCCCAGAGCACCAAGGGGCATCCTCAAAAGCTGTGCTTCCCACCCCACACTTCGTGAGCCTCCTGGTGAGAAAACTCTCAGTGTTCATTGGGCAGCTAAAAGAAAAAAAAATAGAAAGAAATAGAAAAAAGAACTAGCCAAACCAAAAATTGGAAGTTCAGATACAATTTCTTGTTTCCCCTTTGTATGTTTTTAAAGTCAAGATGTGCATTCTGATATTCTGGTTCAGAAAAAGACATAAACAGAAGCAGGAGGGATATTTGTGGAAAGCCTGACTTTCATCGAGGTAATTGTCAGGTTGAGCCATCTGCTCCTCACTGAGTGGCTGGCCCTGCTCTTATTATGTCTTTCCAGGGTATTGAACTCATGTAATGTGGCTGTTTTCAGGAATAGCCTGATTTTTAATAGTGCACACCCACAAATGCTTCTTTCTTCAAAATCTGTCGGACTGTTTGCCTGGCAAGCATGGGGACTACAGGAGTGGTTTTCTTTCCTGGAAACGTTGCCATTGCCTCAGGACTCTCCGAGCTAATGAGGTCCTGTGAATTTTTCCCATTTAGTACTAAGCGAGTAAAGGATATTCTTAAGTCACTAATAAATTGTACCAAATTGAGGCCAGTGTGGCTGGAGTTGTGGAGGTGAGAAGGGAATGTTATAGGAGATAAAGCCAGAGGAAAGGAGATGAGAATGGAAAGATGAAAATCGAGGTTGTGTATCTAAACGTCATATGGAGGGCTGGTAGTCACCATGCAAATTTAATCTGTATGGATATAATATCCATACAGATTGCTTACTTTCACCTCAAGAGTTGCAACCTCTCTCCTGTGTACTGACTTTTTCTTTTTACCAGAATTGATTCCTTTTTCTATTTCCATTGGATAGATTGAACTTATTATAACAAAACAGGGGTTGCCATTTATCAAGCATCCTAGGAATTATATTTCTTAGTTCTAAATCTCGAACATTCCTGACAGTAGATGCTGTTACTACTGTTTTATAACGAGAAATGGATGCTCAGAGATAGTTATGAGCAACCCAGTGCAATATCACGTACCTCACAATTAGTTGAATCAAGGTTTAAGCACAAATCCGACTTCAAAGCATGTTTTTCCTTTTCTTTTTTCTTTTTTTTTTTTTTTTTTGAGGCGGAGTCTTGCTCTGTCGCCAAGGCTGGAGTGCAGTGGCACTATCTCGGCTCACTGCAAGCTCCGCCTCCTGGGTTCATGCCATTCTCCTGCCTCAGCCTCCCAAGTAGCTGGGACTACAGGCGCCTGCCACCACGCCCGGCTAATTTTTTTGTATTTTTAGTAGAGATGGGGTTTCACCGTGTTAGCCAGGATGGTCTCGATCTCCTGACCTCATGATCCACCCACCTCGGCCTCCCAAAGTGCTGGGATTACAGGCTTGAGCCACCGCGCCCGGCCATGTTTTTCCTTTTCACTTAGATTTAGGTGATTTCAGGACAACTTTAAATTTTTTACCTACCTGGCTTTTCTAAGTACTATGCTTGCTATTAAGGTGTTGTCTACTTACCGGTAGGTATACATTTAGACTGAATGAAAATCACAGATGATTCTGATTTTTTTTTAAATGAGATATAAAGGAGGTTATTTAGCCTGGGTCCAGGAAGTACAATGATTCGTCAGTGTGGATAATTGGCACCTGCAATAATTTATTTAACATATCAGTCTTTTAAGTGTGGCTCCTTGAGTGTCTGTAAAGAGACAAACATTCCAGTGTTTTTGTGCATACTTTAGGGAATTGCATGCCATTTAATTTGAGTATTGTCAGTATTAGGTTTTCTCAGATTCTTAGCCTAGATAGATAAGAACAGGGTTTATGATGAATATCAGACTGCCATGCTAAGAAGACAGTAAATTGAAAACTCCATTACTTGCAGACATGGAGTGGCATTTTATTACAAGACACAGTGGATCATACCATCAATATTTTTCCTCCTGTGGCCTTGAGTCACAGAGTGTTTATCAGAAGCAAAACAGTCTGCGTTGGTCTCACCTTTTATTTTATGTATCGACAGGCCACTGTATGAGTTTGCTATGGCATTATGTCCGCCCTTCATCGCTGTGAAGAAGAAATTCATAGAACTGTGAAAGCAGAGAACTGATGTTGCTTTCCATATTGTTGATTAAAAGATATATTCCCATAAATTTTGTATTGCACTTCTTCCCCTCCATCTAGGGTATAAAGCATGTGGATCACTTTGGCTTTATCTGCCGGGAGTCTCCAGAGCCTGGACTTAGCCAGTATATTTGTTACGTATTCCAGTGTGCCAGCGAATCTCTGGTAAGTAGTGTTATTGCTGTCTGCTTGCTCCTGCGGACACATCTGTCGAACAGAAGACTTGCCTGTTAGGAGCCCAGGTCTTGCAAAATGGCTATCTTTGGGAAGAAGAAGGCATCTAGAAATATATTTTTCCCCTTCAAAGCAGCACAGCAGTAGAAAAGCAAAAACAAATTGTCATGGTAAAATAATATGCCTAGATACTTTCTTGGGTTTAATAAACCCAGTCATGGAACCTTGAGCATTTTTAAAAGGTAGGAAAAGACTAATAATAGGAGAAAAGCTGTTACTTTTTTCATTGCTCAGATGAGAAGATAAGGAAGGCCATTGATCTTTTATTTTCTTAATTGCTGTAACATCGCAGAATAGATAATGCTTATATCAGCAGAATAGAGAACTCTCTTCGTTTCTTCCTTTATTTTATTAGTCCTTTCTTCATTTTTAAAATATCATATTTGTTGTGGTCTTACTTTAACCTTCATTTTCTTCTTTGGCATTTAAAAGTCAGTTCTTATCTTTAACACTACCCCTCTCCTGCTCTCAACTAAAGGTAATTGGAGTTCAAGAGGAAACATGTAAGGCAGGCTTGGACATATATCTGAGTGGCTAAGAAATATGTTGACTTTTTTTCCCTCAAAGTTTTTACTTATTCTTGCACTTATGCCATCTCCCCATATTATTTTAACACAAACCTTTAGACATACACATCACCGTTTTTAGAAAAGTTTACAGAAAATTATTTTCTTAGACATGTGATCCTCCCACCAGGATTTCTCCCAGGGAAACACATAACACTTCGTCATATGGAAATCAGTCAGGCAGCATTGTCCTTGTGCCCTTGGTGCATATCACAATTATCCCTGCCCGACTCTTGCCTTCCATGTTCCCAGTGTGGACACCGAGTTTAGAAATAATGAAGAAGTAGGAGTGAATTTGTTCAAAGGCACTTTGTGACCAGCAGCCTCTGGCCTTCATCTTTTTCTCTAAAAGATATAAAACTCCCATCACTAACAGTTTGCTATTCTCGAGAGTTCCATTTGAGTTTTGTCCTTCCTCTAAATAACCATACGTATGAAATATCCACATGTTGATATCCCGGGACTGTTGCTAAATAGGTTGCATTTAGGACTTGAGATAGAAATTTGAGATTGTCATTGTGTAAATGACAGTGAAAGACAGGTTGGATAGAACTGGGGGAGGAAAAAGAAAGAAAGCCAAAGAAAACTGGTGACCTAACATTAGAGAATGCCAACAAAGTAAGAGTTTGGTAGAAAGTGATATCCTAGGATGTTATTCCACACACGCCCCGCTCCCCACCCATTCCCTGCACACTCACACCTCACTCCTTCTGTGTGTCCCTCCTCTACTCTAGGGCTGATCCCTCTACCACATGCTGGATCCCCCACTCTGCTACCTTTCTAAAACCTATCATATACCCCATATGTTTTATTTTGGAAGCACCATTTGCCTAACTTCTCTACTTAGAAATGCTAATGTATCTCTTTCACATTTTATATGCAGTTGTTTATCAAATCCTATTGACTGAAAAAGAATGTCTCTTTTCTCCATTCTCCCACTTTTCTTCTTTGCTGCCCGATTCTAGGCATTCATCTTCTTTACTTCGGCCCTTGTGTTAGTGTCCTAACTAGTAATCCTGCCACTAGTTTAATTTGCCATCTCTTCATTTTCTACACTGTGCTAGAGTTTTATTCTCACAAAATTTCCTCCTTGGAACCTGGTTCATGCCTCACTGTTAAGGGACAAAATCCAGATTGTGTAGCACACAGCGGGGCTCACTTCATTCTCTAGCCTCATCTGCACTTAGACTGGAATGCCATGCCCTTTCGTGACCTTTCTCACACACGCCGTTCGTCTTACAAGCTCTTCTCTGGGTCAGACCACAAAGACTGCTTTGATGGTTGATGTGATACTGCTTTTAGTTTGACTTGCTCCTGAAACCCACACATGTTGGTTAGTTCATGGCACTTGAGTGAGAGGCTGCAGCTCTCTGAAGGCCCACTGTGGCTCACAGTAGTACAGCTGAAACTCAGAGGTCCCGTGCTGCCTTTCACATTGTCCAGCTGGGAAGGAGGCCATGTCAGCCTCAAGAATCTGGCTGTTACTAAGCAAGGAGAGTGTGCAGTGCTTTAGTTACCTCTTTTTTTTACTGCTTTTAATTTTGGAAGTGAAGCAGGCCTGGCTCTGCCCTACTAAAACCTGAGTACCATTCCCTTTCTTTTCTACTGCATATTTTTCCGGCCTCAGCTTACATATCACATCCTACTGAAGTCCTTCCTGATCCCCTGTTTTGCAGGAATTGCCTCCTTTAGTTGTGCTATTGTTAGTTCTCTTACTATACTTTATTCCTAGGTCTCTAACAATTCTTGCCAGTCCCCACACTCACTTATCTGTTGCATAACCACCTACCCTATTAGATTGTGAGTTTCACAGATTTCAGACTATCTCTTTTACGTGTTGTGTCATGGAAGTTCTAGGATAGCAGGTGCTTGGTACTTTTGTACTTTGAGTGATTGAATGACTGCATTACTCTTAACTTCAGACAATCATTTTCTAGGTGCTGGTTAATCTGTGATCTCTGGAGAACTTGCACTAAAAGGAAAATGACGTAAAACTTTGTTACTTCTAATCTTTTTTACCGGTTTTGTTTTGTTTTTAGTTTTCAGTGTTTTCATTTTTGCCCTCATGCATGTAGAATGAGTTTTGGAAACAGGGAATCACAATAGAAAGTCTGGGCACATGCTGCATTTTTCCACCTAGCGTGATCTGTGACTAAGGCAACAGACTTGACTGGCTGTGAATGCCTTCCTACTGCTTGAAGCTGTGTCAGAATCTGAGGTTTGGCATAATTATTCTTAAGAACAGGCCTATGCTAGGATCTTTCAAACCATGTTTAATTTTATCAGTAAGCATTTTAACTGAATAGTGAGGCATCAGAACTGCAAGTCTCAAGAAAAATTAAATGTAAATTTCCTTCATAATAGAGGATTGCTTAAGGAGCTGATACAGAGACCAAAACAAGGCAAGTAAATATTATCAGTCTAAGCAGTGTTAGGAGTGATGTGGCTCGTGTAAGACAATGTATTGCAACACCACGCATGCTCATTTACCTTCTCTGAGTACCAGGAATACACAATTAGCATTTTCTTTTGCTTCTTTGTAATAATTGCTATGAATTTGTAAACAGGGTAGTGTTCTTACGGGCCCTGGAGGGCTATGCTGGAAGTTTAGATGATCAGTTCTTCCTTTTCTCCTCCCTTTGTCTCTCCCAACCTTCTCCCTTCTTTCCTTCTCCCTCTTTCTTTCTTTCGTTCCTTCCTTCCTTGCTTCCTTCCTTCCTTCCTTCCTTCCTTTCTTTCTTTTTCTTTCGTTCGTTCGTTCGTTCGTTCATTGTAGGCAGGCAGCTTAATCTTGTTTAACCAACCCTTGAGATTTGTAGAACATATTATTTCTTCAAAAGTGCTTTCTCTAAAACGGGATTTGAAGAGTGTGAAAAAAGTACAGGTGAACTGCTACTTACAAATGAAGAAAATGTAAACTCCACAGATGCAGACCAAAATATTCAGGGAAAGTATAACCAAAAGACATCTACAGAACTCTCCACCCCAAATCAACAGAATATACATTCTTCTCAGCACCACATCACACTTATTCCAAAACTGACCACATAGTTGGAAGTAAAGCACTCCTCAGCAAATATAAAAGAACAGAGATTATAACAAACTGTTTCTCAGACCACAGTGCAATCAAACTAGAACTCAGGATTAAGAAACTCACTCAAAACCACTCAAGTACATGGAAACTGAACAACCTGCTCCTGAATGACTACTGGGTACCTAACAAAATGAAGGCAAAAATAAAGATGTTCTTTGAAACTAGTGAGAACAAAGACACATCATACCAGAATCTCTGGGACACATTTAAAGCAGTGTGTAGAGGGAAATTTATAGCACTAAATGCCCACGGGAGAAAGCAGGAAAGATCTAAAATTGACACCCTAACATCACAATTAAAAGAACTAGAGAAACAAGAGCAAACACATTCAAAAGCTAGCAGAAGGCAAGAAATAACTAAGATCAGAGCAGAAGTGAAGGAGATAGAGACACAAAAGACTCTTCAAAAAAAAATCAATGAATCCAGGAGCCTTTTTTTTGAAAAGATCAACAAAATTGATAAACCACTAGCAAGACTAATAAAGAAGAAAAGAGAGAAGAATCAAGTAGATGCAATAAAAAATGATAAAGGGGATATCACCACCAGTCCCACAGAAATACAAACTGCCATCAGAGAATACTGTAAACATCTCTACGCAAATAAACTAGAAAATATAGAAGAAATGGATAAATTCTTGGACACATACACCCTCCCAAGACTAAACCAGGAAGAAGTTGAATCTCTGGATAGACCAATAACAAGTTCTGAAGTTGAGGCAATAATTAATAGCTTACCAACCAAAAAAAAGTCCAGGACCAGATGGATTCACAGCCAAATTCTACCAGAGGTACAAGGAGGAGCTGGTACCATTCCTTCTGAAACTATTCCAATCAATAGAAAGAGAGAGAATCCTCCCTAACTCATTTTATGAGGCCAACATCATCCTGATACCAAAACCTGGCGGAGACACAACAAAAAAAGAGAATTTTAGCCCAATATCCCTGATGAACACTGATACAAAAATCCTCAATAAAATACTGGCAAACCGAATCCAGCAGCACGTCAAAAAGCTTATCCACCATGGTCAAGTGGGCTTCATCCCTGGGATGCAAAGCTGGTTCAACATACACAAATCAATAAACGTAATCCAGCATATAAACAAAACCAAAGACAAACCACATGATTATCTCAATAGATGCAGAAAATACCTTTGACAAAATTCAACAGCCCTTCATGCTAAAAACTCGCAATAAATTCGGTATTGATGAGACGTATCTCAAAATAATAAGAGCTATTTATGACAAACCCACAGCCAATATCATACTGAATGGGCAAAAACTGGAAGCATTCCCCTTGAAAACTGGCACAAGACAGGGATGCTGTCTCTCACGACTCCTATTCAACATAGTGTTGCAGGTTCTGGCCAGGGCAATCAGGCAGGAGAAAGAAATAAAGGGTATTCAATTAGGAAAAGAGGAAGTCAAATTGTCCCTGTTTGCAGATGACATGATTGTATGTTTAGAAAACCCCATCGTCTCAGTCCAAAATCTCCTTAAGCTGATAAGCAACTTCAGCAAAGTCTCAGGATACAAAATCAATGTGCAAAAATCACAAGCATTCTTATACACCAATAACAGACAAGCAGAGAGCCAAATCATGAGTGAACTCCCATTCACCATTGCTTCGAAGAGAATAAAATACCTAGGAATCCAACTTAAAGGGATGTGAAGGACCTCTTCAAGGAGAACTACAAACCACGGCTCAACAAAATAAGAGGACACAAATGGAAGAACATTCCATGCTCGTAGATAGAAGAATCAATATCGTGAAAATGGCCATACTGCCCAAGGTAATTTATAGATTCAGTGCCATCCCCATGAAGCTACCTATGACTTTCATCACAGAATTGGAAAAAAACTACTTTAAAGTTCATACGGAACCAAAAAAGAGCCCACATTGCTGAGTCATCCTAAGTCAAAAGAACAAAGCTGGAGGCATCACGCTACCTGACTTCAAACCATACTACAAGGCTACAGTAACCAAAACAGCATGGTGCTGCTGCCAATACAGAGATATAGACCGATGGAACAGAACAGAGCCCTCAGAAATAATACCACACATCTACAACCATCTGATCTTTGACAAACCTGACAGAAACAAGAAATGGGGAAAGGATTCCCTATTTAATAAATGGTGCTAGGAAAACTGGCTAGCCATATGTAGAAAGCTGAAACTGGATCCCTTCCTTATACCATATACAAAAATTAATTCAAGATGAATTAAAGACTTAAATGTTAGACCTAAAACCATGAAAACCCTAGAAGAAAACCTTGGCAATACCATTCAGGACATAGGCATTGTCAAGGACTTCATGTCTAAAACACCAAAAGCAATGGCAACAAAAGCCAGAATTGACAAATGGGATCTAATTAAACTAAAGAGCTTCTGCACAGCAAAAGAAACTACCATCAGAGTGAACAGGCAGCCTACAGAATGGGAAAAAAATTTTGCAATCTACTCATCTGACGAAGGGCTAATATCCAAAATCTATAAAGAACTCAAACAAATTTACAAGAAAAAAATAACCCCTTCAAAAAGTGGGCAAAGGATATAAACAGACACTTCTCAAAAGAAGACATTTATGCAGCCAACAGACACATGAAAAAATGCTCATGATCACTGGCCATCAGAGAAATGCAAATCAAAACCACGATGAGATACCATCTCATACCAGTTAGAATGGCGATCATTAAAAAGTCAGGAAACAACAAGTGCTGGAGAGGATGTGGAGAAATAGGAACACTTTTCCACTGTTGGTGGGACTGTAAACTAGTTCAACCATTGTGGAAGACAGTGTGGCGATTTCTCAAGGATCTAGAACTAGAAATACCATTTGACCCAGCCATCCCATTACTGGGTATATACCTAAAGGATTATAAATCATGCTGCTGTAAAGACACATGCACACGTATGTTTATTGCAGCACTATTCACAATAGCAAAGACTTGGAACCAACCCAGATGTCCATCAATGATAGACTGGATTAAGAAAATGTGGCACATATACACCATGGAATACTATGCAGCCATGAAAAAGGACGAGTTCATGTCCTTTGTTAGGGACATGGATGCAGCTGGAAACCATCATTCTCAGCAAACTATTGCAAGGACAAAAAAACCAAACACTGCCTGTTCTCACTTATAGGTGGGAATTGAACAATGAGAACACTTGGACACAGGAAGGGGAACATCACACACCATCAGACACCGGGAGAGGAGAAGGGGGAGGGATAGCATTAGGAGATATACCTAATGTAAATGACGAGTTAATGGGTGCAGCACACCAACATAGTACATGTATACATATGTAACAAACCTGTACATTGTACACATGGACCCTAGAACTTAAAGTATAATAATAATAATAAAAAACTTATAGGTCATTTGCGAAAAGTGATAGATTTTAGAAAATAAAGTATTTATAATTTTAGAAGTCAGATAAGTTTTTAGTAATATTTGTGTACAGGAGAAGTTGGTAGCCACATTTCAGACACCATGACCTCTTGTTTCACCCAGAAATAGCGAAAACATCAAAAGTTCAATATTTCTACTAGATACCTTTTACAAGGCGGTATTATTAAATGACAAATAATTTATATGGAAGCTATTTATATTACTAGTAGATTGCTAACCCCTTCAGTGTTTAAAATAAATGAGAAACAAGAAAATAGAAATAAATGAACATCTGCACAAATAGCTTTTGAATGCATAACAAGGCAAATGAAATAAAAATGCAAAGTCATTAAAGATGTAGTCCTTTTATTTTGAAGAATTAGAAATTATTACTTTTTGCTTATAGTATAAAATAACATTTTATGAAAAATTACTTTTATTAGTGGAATGATAAGACATTCATAAGCCTTAAGATTGGTGATATAATAAAACATAATTGAATAATGACTGACTGCTCAGTGTTTGATCTCTTCTTTCAGAAATAGTAGAAGAATAGTCTCTGTTTGTTTCAGTTTCCTCATACACTCAAATGTAGAAATAGATTACATTCTTTAAATAATAATTTATTCTTAAATCAGGCCATGGGGAAGGGGAAAGAGAATGTAAAAATGTGCTTACCAAGCATGGTAAATGGTTTTGAATATCAAAGCTAGTTCGGATGAGGCCCTTAGTGCTCAATGGCTCTGTCCTGCAGGTTTCATAATTTGATCTAAGACCTACAGAGTGTAGGAAAATGACACCTTACATTTGTGATTGTTTACAGAAAAGGAGATACAACTGAAAATTGGTTTAACAATGCATGGGGATGAGCTGGTAATTGGTTTCAAAGAAGCATCCAGGAAGTAAAAAGGCTAGATTAAAGCTTTTTGACTGGGTCATGGATGAACAAAAAAGAAGTGAACTGGTAATTTGCAAGCTGCCAGTCTAATGGTGAGACTCAGCTGTTAGATGCCTCTATGTAAGACCTTCTTAGTGTCACAAATCAGAAGTGGAATGATAATAAAGCAGAAGTTACAGGGATAAGCCAGCATTGTTTACAGACTTTCCCCACCCTTGTTTAAATGGAACTCATTTTTATCCAGAACTGTACTTAACACTTTTTGTTTGCTTTTACACTAAAAGTAATCTAGAAGAGTAAAGTGCATAGGATACCTATTAACAAAGTGAATATTGGACCTATTTTGTTGTTTCATATAAGTGGCAGACAAAACTACAAAAGAATCTTTATCTGATAAGCCGTATAATTAAACAGAAGGATTAGCCAATTAAACTCTCTGATGGCATAGCCCTCAATGCGATTTGGAAATAGCATTAAATTTAAATTAACAGAGCAGTATTATATTACACACATTGAAATAATCTTACTTCATCCAGCTTTCAATTATATGTATGAAACGTCTAACTCCAAGACTTAGTACTTTCTCTCGGCTAGCTCTCTAGTCATCAAAATTCTATTATTTATTATTTCATCAGCATCAACACAGGCTCACATTGCTGTTGAATTTTGAATGTTGCCATGCAAGCCAACTTTTGTAGACCTGAGTTTTGTTTCTTCCTCTAGGTTGATGAGGTAATGCTGACTCTGAAACAGGCCTTCAGTACGGCGGCTGCCCTGCAGAGTGCCAAGACGCAGATTAAACTGTGCGAGGCCTGCCCGATGCACTCTTTGCATAAGCTCTGTGAAAGGATCGAAGGTACAGTTTTATGTGGCCTTGGCAAAAGAGAAGTTTGCTTTGGCACTTGGGAAATGAGAAAGTCCTTGTTGTCATTGAATAGTTCTTTGTTTCAATATGAAACAAGGACCCAAAGAATCATTTCTCATGTTCACTCAAATGAGTGTGCTGTCAATCTCTGCTAGGTGCTTCACACACACTCTCTCTCTGTCTCTCTCTCTCATTTCTAAAGGCAAACTCAAGAAGGTATTTGTATTTCCCACAGTTTTTAAGACTGCTAAGTACATGGTGGGAACTGACCAAATATTTGCTGAATGAATGAAGAGAGACAAAACCATCACAGAATGTCAAGTGATTATTTAATATTTCCCCTTTTCTCCCTTATTTGATGATGAGTTCCTGTTCTAAAAATGTAGAACTTTAATGAAGCCTGCTTGGCTTTTGAAGGACATTTGTCAATGACAAAGATAATAGAAGTGATAATATAAAGCAGTTTTTTAAAAAATGTGTTCTGAGAAGGAGTGAAGGGCATGAGAAAGAGATGATCCTATGACTCAACTTCCTTTTCATTTCATTATCTCTTACTAACAACAACATGAAAAAGCTTGAAAACTACTATACAAGACAAAAAACAATTTAATAAACACTAGTGAAATGTCTACTCTGGACCAGGCAATGTGCTAGGCACTGGGAGATACAGAAATGATTGAGACATGGACTAATCCCAAGAAGCTTACAGTCTAGAGTGGGATACAGGTATATTAGCAAATAAATGCAATTCATTATGACAGGTGTTATAATACATGGGAAGAGTGCAAGTTATTAATAAACATAGCAGAGATTGGTCTAGACATTGTAAATGCACATCACGATTTCTGTTCAGTAGGCAGCAGAATCATAGGCACAGGGCAGAATCAATGATGAATAACAGTATTCATTGAATATTTACACAACTGTATGATCAAACACAGGTTTTTTTTTTTTTTTTTTTTTTTTGGTTGTTTGTTTGTTTGTTTTGAGGCACAGCCTTGCTCTCTTGCCCAGGCTGGAGTACAGTGATGTGATTACGACTCACTGCAGCCTCTACCTGCCAGCTTCAAGCAATCCTCCTGCCTCAGCCTTCCAAGTAATTGGGACTACAGGTGTGTGCCACCACACCTGGCTAGTTTTTAAAAAAATTTTTTGTAGAGATGGGGTCTCACTATGTTGCCCAGCCTGGTATCAAATTCTTGGTCTCAAGCAATCCTCCTGCCTTGGCCTCCCAAAGTGCTGGGATTACAAGCATAAGCCACTGTGCCCAGCCAAAGACTATTTCAATGTAATAGGCTTAAACAATTAGAATTATAATTTTGCAGAATGTACATTATTTTCAAACACATAAAGCATTTACAAAAATGGAACATTCTTAGCTGTGTGGTAAAGGAAGCATGTAAATCTGTGTGTCGGGGAGTGCCAGTTACTCAGGAGATGGTGTTGGATCAATTAGCCATCCAAAAGGGCAAAGATTGCGTATATTCATCCTGCTTAGTAATACATGCTAGACGGATCAAAGTCCTCAGTGTAAACAAACAAAATATTAAAACTATTAAAAGAAAACAAGAAGATTATTCTTATTTCTTGAAGGGAGATTTATTAAGACACAGAAATTCAAGAACAATCAGAAGAAGACACTGACATATTTGACTTTATGAAAATTTAAAGTGTTTACATAACAGTAAATGTTTGGGAGTTATATGACCAGTAACAAACAAGGAGATAGCAGATTGGAATCCAGAATTTGTAAGAACTTTAACCTATAAGAAAAAGATTAAACCACACAGTAGGAAATTGTATAAGTGATACTGAAAAATACTTCTCAGAAAAGGAAATTAAAAGTTCCAAGAATGGAAATGTAAGGATGCTGAACCTTACTGGATGTCAGAGAAATGAAAATGGAAACAATAAGATACTCATCAGGTTAACTGTTGGAGAAATTGTATGGTTGTGTAATACGTTTGTGTAATACTGATGGGAGTGGAGATTGCTACAGCCATTTTGGGGGGACGGTTAATATAAACTCATTAACCTAACATTGCACATACTCTGTTATCTAGAAGTTCCATGGCTTGATAAGAAAAACTCTTATATAAAAGTACAGAAGGTGACATTTAAAAGGTTTTGTTATTTGTAAATGATGGAAAATTGGAAATGATCTAGATGTCGATCAATGGGATAATTAGTAGTATATTCACATAATGAAGCAATTAATAGGAATGAATTGGAACTATATGTCAACATGGATGCATCTTAAAATTGTATTGTTGAGTGAAAAAATAATTTGCTTAACAACATGTACAGCATATATTTGTATATATGGAAAAAACATAGTATAATGCCGTAAATTTTTTTTCAAAAACTTTGATCTACACTCTGTCACTTTCAGAAAGACAGTGTGGCAATTCCTCAAGGATCTAGAGCCAGAAATACCATTTGACCCAGCCATCCCATTACTGGGTATATACCCAAAGGATTATAAATCATTCTGTTCTAAAAACACATGCACACGTATGTTTGTTGCAGCACTATCCACACTAGCAAAGACTTGGAACCAACCCAAATGTCCATCAATGATAGACCAGATAAAACAAAAACAGCACATATACACCATGGAATACTATGCAACCATAAAAAAGGATGAGTTCATGTCCTTTGCAGGGACATGGATGAGGCTGGAAACCATCATTCTCGGCAAACTAACACAGGAACAGAAAACCAAACACTGCATGTTCTCACTCATAAGTGGGAACTGAACATTGAGAACACACAGACACAGGGAGGGGAACATCACATGCTGGGGCCTGTTGAGGAGTGGGGGTCTAGGGGAGGGATAGCATTAGGAGAAATACCTAATGTAGATGACGGGTTGATCGTGCAGCAAACCACCATGGCACGATGTATACCTTTGTAACACACCTGCATATTCTGCACATGTATCCCAGAACTTAGTATATGAAAAAACACAAAACTTTGATCTACTTTTAGATTTACAGAAGAGTTGCAGAGAGTTTCCAAATATTCCTTACCCCGTTGTTTATAAGTAATATTTTCCTTCTTAAATTTTATTTTTCAAACCATACACTGTAAAATAAATTAGTTCTATATAGGCAAAGTTATAAACATAGGAGTGAAGAAACAACTTTATATTTCTGTTTTTAAAATTATTTTAACAGACTCTAGGTGTGTTTTAAAATATATTTTCTATTACAAAACAGAAGTTTTAAGTTCTCATAAAAGTAGTCAGTCTTTGTCAGAAGCTGGCTCTAAACCTATAGGGGAGCTATCACTTACACAAAGGACTCTGTGTAGATATACAGCTGGATGTTCATTTTCTGGAGCCTGATGTTTTTATAGTTTTAGATATCTTTTTTTTTTTTTTTGTATTTTCATAGAGATGGAGTTTCACCATGTTGCCCAGGCTGGTCTCAAACTCCTGAGCTCAGGCAATCTGCCTGCCTTGGCCTCCCAAAGTGCTAGGATTACAGGCATGAGCCACCGTGCCCGGCCAGTTTTAGATACCTTTTTAAAGAAAAAAGAAAAATAATAAACAATTATGAATTCAGAATTATTAGGGCCCTTCCCAAAATCTCAAAGGGACTCTGATACTTGAGCTTTATGCACTGCAGGGCATGCATGTATCTGAAGGGAGTGAAAAGAAGCACTTGTGAGTCACTTGGGGTTGTTTTCCTAAGGCCTTCGATCACACTGTCTGATAGGATTTGTTCCTTCCTGCTTTTTATGTTGGGGAAAGATAGCAGTAAGACAGCACAGTACTCTGATGTTAAGAGTGAGAACAAAAGTAGAAACAATAAGGCAGATCCTCTGTAGGCCTCTCCATGTGTGAGGCACTATTGTGTTTCGCGTGTATTAGCCCATTCCATCCATATGAAAAAATGGAATCTCATTTACACAGGAAGCAACTGAGACACTGAGACCCATAGTGGGGTAATAACTGCTGTATTCACGTTGCTTGGAAGGGGCAGAGCCAGGATTTGAACTTGCACAATTGGTTTCCAAAGCACCTTGATACCTTCTGTCTAAGAGAGTATCCAAAGGCAGGGACCCTCAGGGCCTGGAAGCCTTCTGGTATCTGTGCGTTTTCCGAAGAGTTACTTTCATCTAAGTAAGATAACTGTGAATTCTAAGTTTGTTTTATGCTTAGGTACAAAGTACAGAGCTGGAAGAAGGATCACATTTAGATAAACAAATTAATAAAACTATCGTTAGTGAGAAAGATATTTTAAAGTACCATATAATAGTATTTTATTTTGCTCATTCAGAATTGGAGTATTCTGGTCAATACATTTGACTGCATTGAGTTCTATTTTTAATGACAAAAATAAGATAAAAATAGAGTAGATAAGTATGTGTATGTGAACCTTCATCGTCTGTCCTTGTGTTCACTCTTACTGTTTATCCCAGGAGGAACAGAGTCAGCCATCTCTGTGGACCAAAGTGAATTGAGGGGGTGACATCGAAGGGGAACACTGTTTCCCAAGGACCAAACCTCAGAATGTGAACCTGAAAAGTGATGCTGAGTATCATGGAGATAGAGCGATTATCCTAATGTTGGTTTCCTACATTAACATGCATAGTGGATAGTATACATGCTTTCAATATCAGTAATTCACTAGTCAGTGATTCCAGCTGCTGGGAGGAAGGAAGTCCAATCAGCCAATCAGATTCATGGAAGAGCATGTATAGTTTGAAAGAAACAAACTCCAGCCAATTCCAATTCTTTGACTAAAACAGAGGACTAAGAAACTTCCTAGTTACATACTTCAAATAACTACCTTCATTTTTCTTTTCCTCTTTTCAATCTTTTGTCTTCCATGTTAAGTCACTTGAGTAATAAACAACAGGAAACAAAACAAAAACAATCATGTGAATCATTATAATACATTGTCTAAGCCTCTGAAGGAGACTTTCCCAGCAAATAATAAATTGTGATAGCGGCCGGGTGCAGTGGCTAATGCCTGTAATCCCAGCACTTTGGGAGGCCGAGGCAGGTGGATGACCTGAGGTCAGGAGTTCAGGTCCAGCCTGGCCAAAATGATGAAACTCTGTGTCTACTAAAAATACAAAAATTAGCTGGGCATGGTAGTGGGAACCTGTAATCCCAGCTGCTTGGGAGGCTGAGGCACGAGAATCGCTTGAACCCAGGAGGCAGAGGTTGCAGTGAACTGAGATCGTGCGGTTGTACTCCAGCCTGGGTGACAAGAGTGAAACTCTGTCTCAAAAGATAAGATAAGATAAGATAAGATAAGATAAGATAAGAAAAGAAAAGAAAAGAAAAGAAAAGAAAGTAAAATAAAATTAAAAAATAAAGCCGGGCGCTGTGGTTCGTGCCTTTAATCCCAGCACTTTGGGAGGCCGAGGCGGGCCGATCACCTGAGGTCGGGAGTTGGAGACCAGCCTGACCAACGTGGGGAAACACCGTCTTTACTAAAAATACAAAAGTAGCTGGGCATGCTGATGCATACCAGTAATCCCAGCTACTCATGAGGCTGAGGTAGGAGAATTGCTTGAACCTGGAGGCGGAGGTTGCGGTGAGCCGAGATGGCGCCATTGCACTCCAGCCTGGGTAATAAGAGCGAAAATCCAACTCAAATAAATAAAATAAAATAAAACTGTGATAGTGAGTGCCGTCATACCATCAAAATGAATTTAGTTTTCTGTCTGTGATCACCAAGACATGCACCGAATTTTGCTGTACATTGCACAAAGAAATGTGGAGCGGAGTTTTTGGAAACTTTTCCTCTAGTTCTCATTCAGTACTGCACAGTGGTTTAAAGCATGCCTGGTGGCTGTGTGGCTGCAGGATGGCAGTACTGTATGCATTCTGGCAAGTGTGAAGTGAATTCTAGATCTTTTAAAACAATGTGTATTTTCAGGTGATCCTCCTGTATACTGTCTGTAGAGATCTTGTTAGTTATTTAATTTTAAAAAGTAGCTCAAATCTATTAAATCAGTTTACTTCAGTTGCCTGGCACCTCATATTTTCTTAGAAATGAATACAATGAGAAAAATGCACAATGTGCTTATAGACTAATACATTATTTTAAAATTCTGTGATGCGACTTAGCAGAACAAATTATAAGTATTTTTGGCCAATTACTTTGTCTTATTCTTTGTAAATAAACACAAAGAATACATGGAAAACATTCAAATTAAGTCATAACATCATGTAATGTATTTAGTTATAAACTGAGAAAGATAGCAAAGGCAGCCTTGTAATGATTTTAAAATGCCGGCCTACCTATAACGTTTATTAAATATTATATATACCCAGATATTCTCTTCATAATCAAAATATAGTAGCAATACTCTAAGTGGAACCTAACTGTCATGAAAATCTCTTTTTCTCTGAATCTTCTTTTGAAGAAATGAAGGAAGAGAAATCTATTCTTTAAAAATGGATGGTCTGTTGAATTACTGCAATATGAATTAAATTTTCTTTTTTTAAAAAAAATTTAAAAACAATCTTTTCATGAAAAAAGATTTTCCAAGGACTTAATATAAATATATGTAAGAATGGGATAGGTTTATGAATATCATGATATAAAGAAGTAAATCATTTCTTGATAAAATAATAGCATTGCAAGTTCACTAAATGCTAATGCTATCCTTAAAACTTTATTCTCACAGAACAAGAGCTGCATCGGGGAAGAGATCTCTGGCTAAGCTGTAGTCTTGCCTTTTAAAGTTATTACTTGTTCTTTCTTCTTTAAATGTCAAGTTGTAAGCTTAACATTTTTGGCCAAGGCTAGTCTTTAGCTGTTATTTCCATGTGAGGTCTTAGGTTAATGTTAAATCGTCTGTGAGTTTCTACTGTGGCTGTTAGTGTAAAGTGGTTTCTGGTTGTGCTTGGTATTGCTTAGAAATTCATTGTTAGTAATTTTTGTTGTTGTTTTTTTGAGATGGAGTTTCACTTTGTTGCCCAGGCTGGAGTGCAGTGGCTCGATCTTGGCTTACTGCAACCTCCACCTCCCGGGTTCAAGCGAGTCTCCTGCCTCAGCCTCCTGAGTAGCTGGGATTACAGGCTGCTGCCACCATGGCTGGCTAATTTTGGTATTTTTAGTAGAGACGGGGTTTAAAAGAACTAGAATTTGCTTCATGCTTGTCAGAATGTACACAGTGCTGCCATACTGTGGCCACACTCTCACCAGACCTGTTTTAAACCACTGCAGTACTGAATTAGAACTAGAGGAAAAGTTTCTGAAAACTCTTCTCCACCTCCCCAAGTGTTGGGATTACAGGCGCGAGCCACTGCACCTGGCCCGTTGTTAGTAATTTTAATGCCAAGATCACTACTGGGGCTGTTGATTTTGGTGGAGAGGTTTTTCATTTAGTTTCAGTCATTTCAATGATCCAAGGTTTCTTGTAGGCAGGAACACGTCTCCTTGAAAAGATTTTAAGTTCAGAGCCTGCTTGGGAAGAGGTGAAGTGTAATGCATTATCTGCCCCTGGATCTCTGCTGCTGGATCTCTGTTTAATACCTTCCCTTATCATTTTCCTTAGGTCTCTACCCCCCAAGAGCCAAGCTGGTAATACAAAGGCATCTCTCATCACTGACAGATAATGAGCAAGCTGACATCTTTGAAAGAGTTCAGGTAACATTATTTGTAGGTCTCATAAATAAGACATAAGGAATGAGAATTGAATCCTGTTTTATGCATTCCTGTTTTCATTCTGCTGCCAAGAGTTAAAGATGCATGACCTAGAGTACTATTGGGTAGTATAGAATGCCGTTGTATTTTTGCTTCTGAGCTAAGTTAAAACTCTTAGCTTTGTTTACGTTTGTCTGCCAGATGGAATGAAAGGAGAGAAGCTGTGTTGCCATAGTGTTCTTTTGGTTTGTCTGTTGAACAGAAAATGAAGCCAGGCAGTGACCAGGAAGAAAATGAACTTGTGATCTTACACCTGAGGCAGATGTGTGAGGCCAAGCAGAAGACACACGTGCACATTGGGGAAGGCCCTTCGGTGAGAAGATATTTCCTCCTTCGCCGACTTTTGTTGTTGTTTATGGATTTTCTTAATTCTTCCATTTGTACTGTCAAGTTCTTTAGGGCTAAAGTCTTATCAGAGTTTCCTGTGACGCACCCCCCCCCAGCATTTTGGTAGTTTTATAAGGACTTTTTTTGTTTTTTTTAAGACAGAGTTTCACTCTTATTGCCCAGGCTGGAGTGCAATGGCACTATCTCGGCTCACCGCAAGCTCCGCCTCCCACATTCAGGTGATTCTCCTGCCTCATCTTCCCGGGTAGCTGGGACTACAGGCATGTGCCACCACACCCAGCTAATTTTGTATTTTTGGTAGAGACAGGGTTTCTCCATGTTGGTCAGCCTGCTCTTGAACTCCCAACTTCAGGTGATCTGCCTGCCTCAGCCTCCCAAACTGCTGGGATTACAGGCATGAGCCACTGTGCCCGGCCGTTTTATAGGGAATTTTAGCAGGCATTGACACATTGAGCTAACTAATGATGGTCTTAAAATGTAAAAGAATTTGTGGGTTTTGGTTTTAAAAAAGCATTAATAGTACATGTTCATGATTTAGAATGAACGTACATTATTTTTAGTTATATTAATCTATTATTTCCAATTCATATGGACATTTTATTTCATCAAAAGTGGAGATAGCCCAAATGGTGAAACAGTGGTAATATCGTGTAAATGATACCCTAGCTGCAAACTGAGGGTTGGTATTTTTGTGCATGTGGTTTAGAATTTATCCTCTGCTGCATATAGAAGAAGCAGGACTACCAGCAGTAACATCAAAGGGGATAATGAAATATTTAGTCTTGATAACACTAATTCAGGTTGTGTCTTTATTTCACTATATTCAGAACAAATCACATATCGTTTGTACACAGTCCTTCATTTAGTCACAGAAAAGCATTTCTTGAGAACTTTCTATGGGTTACACTATGTGATGGAAAAGGGTGACAAAAAAAACTGATGAATGAATCATGTGCCCTCCAGAGAACAGCTCAAATATTTGAAAGGGGAATGCAAACAGATCAATAGATACATAGAAAATATTCAATAAGTGGCTTAAAAAAAGAATCTGGTCTGGCGCGGTGGCTCACGCCTGTAATCCCAGCTCTCAGGGAGGCAGAGGCGGGAGGATAGCTTGAGCCCAGGAGTTCGAGACCTGCCTGGGTAATATAGCGAGACCCCGTTCTCCACAAAAAGAAAAAAAAAAAAACCAAAAAACAAAAAGAATCTGTATCAATTTTAAGTTAAGTTTTGTATTGGGTATAAGGTGAGGTCCAGCTTCATTCTTTTGCCATTGAGTATGATGTTAGATGTGAGTTTTTTTTGTATATGGCCTTTATCACTGTGAGGAATTTTTCTTCTATTCCTAGTTCAAGTATTTTTATCATGAGAGGGTATTGGACTTTGTCAAATGCTTTTACTGTATCAACTGTCACGGGAGTTTGTTGTGCAGATTTTAGCAGCACTATTCACAATAGCAAAGACATGGAATCAACCTAAATGCCCATCAGTGATAGGCTGGATAAAGAAAATGTGATACATATACACCATGGAAAGTTAAAAACATGTGTATATTAAAGCACACTGTCAAGAGTATGAAAAAACACCCTCACAGAGTGGGAGAAAATACCTACAAACCACTTATGTAATGAGGGTTTACTATTCAGAATATATAAAGAACTCCGACTCAATGACCAAAAAAAAAAAAAAAGCATCTGTAGTGAGCACAAAAGTAGCTATGTCTTTGCTTTGGAGCTGGAGTGGAGAGTAAGAGAAGAGGAAATTCAAGAGGAAGGACACTTGGGGGAGCTGGAATTTTAGGAGAGATAAACTTAGCTGTCAGAACGGTTGAGGAACTGTACTTTTGGGCTGGGCGCAGTGGCTCACACCTATAATCCCAGCACTTCAGGAGGTTGAGGCGGGCAGATCGTGAGGTTGGGAGTTCGAGAGTCTGGCCAATATAGTGAAATCCCGTCTCTACTAAAAATACAAAAAAAATTAGCCAGTGTGGTGGTGGGCACCTGTAATCCTAGCTACTCAGGAGGCTGAGGCGGGAGAATCATGTGAACCTGGGAGGCAGAAGTTGCAGTGAGCTGACATCATACCACTGTACTCCCCAGATGACAGTGAGACTCTGTCTCAAAAAAAAAAGAAAGGGAGGGAGGGAGGAAGGTTGAGCATAAAGTTATGTAGTGGTGTGCCCAAACTTACTCCATGCAGGCACTGGAATTAGGTGCTGGTTTTGAGGTCATGCTTGGGGGTTGGTGGGGGAAACAAGGCTGGGATGATAGGCAGAATGAGATGAGGAAGGGCCTTAAGTTACTGGCAGGCCTGACTTTGTCATGGAAGGATTTGAAGTAAGGGAGTGAGAAGATCAGATTTGCACCACAAAGAGAAAATTCTGCTGTTCTTCTGATGGTAGATTTATTTGTTGGGGAGGTTGCTGGGTGAGGGAGTTAGGACTAAGTCATATTCTCCAGTTGGGAGAATGTTTTAATAGAATATGTGATAAGTGATTTAATTATTGCAGAAATCTTTATTGAGTACAGACTGTGTACTAGGAAACAGTGATGAATAATGGTGACCCTGTCCTGCCATCTTAACTGTTTAGGAGGAGAAAACAACATGAAACCAAATACATTAAACTATGATGTGATTGGTATAATGATGTATGCACAAGTTAGAGGTAGCATTGGTACATAAATAGCTTGAATAATTCTGTCTTGAAGCATTTATTTAACTCAGGAGAGAGACCAAGCTAGAGCCCTAGAGAAGTGAGGAAGGAACTGAGTGAAGAGCTATTTAGGCGGCATAATCTTTAGGATGTAGTGACTGACTGGAAGAATCTGTAAAGGAAGGGAGAGGGAGTTGCTGTGAACAACGTCATGGTTTCCCATGTGGGGAAATTTGATGAAACGGAGCCTGGAAATACAGAAAGCAGACGAGAGTGGGGCAGTGGATGAGAATAAAAAATAAGAGTTCAATGTGGAAATGTGTTTGAGATTCAATTAGAAAAATGGATTTGGTGCCCATAGAGGAATTTGAGGTGGTAAGTATGGAGGTTGATACATTTGGTGCCTATTGAGGAATTTGAATATAAATATGGAAGACATGAGCTTTGATGTGGACCTGAAGTTAAAGGAGGATGTACACGAGATGTGCATTTTTTTGTGATGGATAAATCACAAAGAAATGATCGTATAGGAGGAGATTTTAACATGTTAATGTTTTCTTGCTCGTAGCTAAGTTTCTGCCTCCATCACGCTCTCCTTTCCTTCATTTCCTTCCATTTATTCAACTGGTATTTACTGAGCAGTTACTGTGTGTCAGATATTTGCTAAGTGCCCATATGGTTTTTCTATTTTTGTCACATTTGTTTATCTGGAAGCCTTAGAATAATGAGTGATCCCAGTGCTTTATACACCCTGCACCCTGTCCAGCCCACATCTATACCCATTGTTTTTTCTCCGTTCCTTCCTTGGTGGGGCCTTTCTTGCATCTGTAACTTCTTAACTGATTTGATGAATCTAGTGCTAGTGTGGGCCCTTATTGCCTCCTACATAGACTGTGCTGAAGCCTCAAGTTCAGTTTGATCTTTCAGTCTGATTTTCCTGTCTTTTAGGTGTGTTTTTGAACACTCCTTTTAGATAACTGTCCCTAAAACATTACATTCACAGGGATTTCCCTCAGCTTATAAATTTGGATTACTAGTTTTTCATATTTATCTGGCACTTAAGAACATTCAAGGTTTTGTTTTCCAGCCTGACTTTCTCATGTTACCTTTTACTGTTCCCTTCTATTAGGCGGGTGCAGACGTAATTGCAGTTTTTGCCATTAAAAGTAATGGCAAGTAATATTTTAACTAAATACATGCACTGACTTTCTCTCCCTTAAGCAATCCACCTTTTAGGATTTTGCCAACAACTATCCCCAGTTCTGGGGAAGTCTTCATCCCTTTCTTCCTGCCTGTCTGAATCCTCTGTATTCTTTTCTTCGTGTTTAGACCCACAGCCAATCTTCCTGCTTTCGTATTTGATCCTTACATGTGCTTTGTGTTGCTGTTCCCTCCCCAAGCAAATCATAAGGTTTCTCGCTTGAAAGGTTTTTGCTGCTAAGGACCATGTAGCTGCTTACTTCAATGGATAAAATACGTAGAGAACCTAATATAGTGGACACATCGTAGATTCTCACACAGTTTGGTTCTATACTTGTGATCTAAGAGATAAATGACCCACTCACAAATGAAAATGGAATTATAACAGAGGCATTAGCAGAATCCAGTTTTGTCTGGAAAATGCTTTGTTCTTTGGAACTTGTGTTCTGTGTTTTCCTTGGTAATTTGGATATAAAATATCTATCTTGGAAGGGATGGTTATAGATGTTAATCAGAGTAGCAGCAGTAAAAATTGACGTCTCAAGTATAATTTTTGCTAAATGCAGCAGGAATGTATTCATGGAAAGGAAAGGCATGAAGGAAATACTTTACATCTGTCTTTTTATTACATACAATATGAAAAATTAAACCCCCTTCCTTATAATCATTGTGTTCACAGTGTGGGACTTAAATTATTACTTAATAATAGAGCTACTGAAGAATTCTTGTGATTTTTAATAGCTTAGTCTTAAGCCTATAATTAAAGTCTGTTTAACCTTGAGTATTTCCAAACTAAAATGTATCTGTTTTTCTTTTTTTAGACTATTTCAAATAGTACAATCCCAGAAAATGCAACAAGCAGTGGAAGGTTCAAACTTGACATTCTGAAAAATAAAGCTAAGAGATCCTTAACTAGCTCCCTGGAAAATATCTTCTCGAGGGTAAGATTGCACTGATGGTCTTTTAAGTATGCACATCTGTGTTTTCTAATAGTTTAGCTTCAGTCTCAACAGGTTCACAGATTTCCTTAGGAAAAAAAAAAAAGCCTAAGATAACTTTTAAAAATTAGTTAACAAAGTGTTCTTTTTTTGTTTGTTTGTTTTGTTTTGTTTTGTTTTTTTGAGATGGAGTTTCACTCTTGTCACCCAAGTTGGTGTGCAGTGGTGAGATCTCAGCTCACTGCAACCTCTGCCTCCTGGGTTCAAGCAATTCTCCTGCCTCAGCCTCTCGAGTAGCAGAGATTTCCTGCCTCAGCCTCTCAAGTAGCAGAGATTACAGACATACACCACCATGCCTGGCTAATTTTTGTACTTTTAGTAGAGACAGGTTTTCACCATGTTGGTCATGCTGTTCTCGAACTCCTGACCTCAAGTGATCCACCTGCCTTGGCCTCCCAAAGTGCTAGCATTAAGGTATGAGAGCCACCGTGCCCAGCTCAAAATGATCTTTTTTTTTTTTTTTTCCTTTTCTTTTTCTTAGACCCAGACTCTTGCTCTGTCACCAGCCTGGAGTACAGTGGCACGATCTTGGCTCACTGCAACTTCCACCTCCTGGGTTCAAGTGATTCTCTTGCCTCTGCCTCCTGAGTAGCTGGGACTACAGGTGTGCACCACCACTCCCAGCTAATTTTTATATTTTTAGTAGAGATGGGGTTTCACCATGTTGACCAGGATGGTCTTGATCTCTTGACCTTGTGATCTGCCCGCCTCGGCCTCCCAAAGTATTGGGATTACAGGCGTGAGCCACCATGCCTGGCCCAAAATGATCTTTCAAAATAAGTTTCCTTCACAGATTGAGATTTATTCTGGGGACTTTATGTGAATTTGAGCAATAGAGATTTAGTAGTAGAAATACATATGTATAGAAAAGGGGAAATAGAATCTTGATGCTCAATACTGTAAGAACTTTAAAAATCATTTCCCATAGAAAGTTATAAAGAAATTTTTTTTTGCCCATTGTATTAGTTCATTCTTGCATTACTATAAAGAAATATCTGAAACTGGGTAATTTTTAAAGAAAAGAGGTTTCATTGGCTCACAGTTCTGCGGGTTATACGGGAAGCATAGCGGCTTCTGCTTCCGGAGAGGCCTCAGGAAGCTTCCAATCATGGTGGAAGGCAAAGGGGGAGCAAGACATCTCACATGGTGGGAGCATTAACAAGAGAGAAAGAATGAGGAGGTGCTGAACACTTTTAAACAACCAGATCTCATGAGAACTCACTATCATGAGAACCGCACCAAGGCGATGGTGCTAAACCATTCCTAAGAAATCCATCCCCCGTGATCCAGTCACCTCCCACCAGGCCCCACCTCCAACATTGGAAATTACAATCTGACATGAGATTTGGGCAGGGACACAGATCCAAACCATATCACTCATTCTTAGAAACTTAGAGGCTAAGTGCTGAAAAAAGTATAAATTAATGGAAATTTATATATTCCATTTAGTAAGTGTATATATTCCATTTTAAAATAAGTAAAAGGGTTCCCCTTCAACTTTATTTTCCTCTTCCTGAACAATTCTGCCTTAGAGCTATTAGGTGAGGTCAACCTACGTGGGTGTTTTGGGCTGTGGCATGGGGGACCCATGGTGGCTCAGAGCAGGGAGACTGTCCATATGGGGTGTGGAATGTGGGGGTGGCTCGATGCAGGGCGTAGCAGCCTCTTGCAGTGATGAGGGAATCCGCAGAGAAGGGGAACCTGGTTTGGGAGGTCGCAGGAGGCAGCATACTGGCAGAAGGAAGGCCCAGTGTGGGTGTCAGAGTCACAGTGGAGGGGAGCGGGCATTCACACGGATGAGTGCCTGAGCAGGCTGAGGATGTGCATGTGATGGGATGGCAGCCCCAGCATGGAGTGGCACAGCCTGAGTGGGATGAGGACAGTGTCTGTGCAGTGGTCATTGTGGAGATGGGTTATATACACACAGGGATAGGTGAAGTAAGTAAATGTCTTAAGGAGAGTGGAATCCAGGGAAAAAGAAATTACTAATACGAAAAGGGTAGAAATTAGAATGAACCCTGCATTGGATTCAACTTGGAGGTATCACACTAAAGAACTTACTCATGTAACCAAATACCACCTGTTCCCTCCTGGCCAACATGATAAAACCCCGTCTCTACTAAAAATACAAAAAAATGAGCCGGGCATGGCGTTGCGTGCCTGTAATCCCAGCTATTCAGGAGGCTGAGGCATGAGAATCACTTGAACTGAGGAGGCAGGGGTTGCAGTGAGCTGAGATCATGCCACTGCAATCCAGCCTGGGAGACAGAGTGAGACCCTTTCTAAAATAAACAAACAAACAAAAAAACCCACCTGTTCCCCCAGTAACCTGTGGAAATAAAAAAATCACAAAAATAAAACTTGGAGGTATCAATATAAAATCATGATATTTATATACATTAAATACAAACATACAATCATATAGAAATATATATGCAAATATAAAAATATGTAAATATAAACATAAGTATATATGTATGTGTTCTACTAGACAGAACCAAGATTCTGAGAAACATGGCTAATTTCAGGACTGTAGGAAAAGTACAAGATGAGCCCAGAACATCTTGGTGTTCTAGATAGCAGGAAAATGTTCGAAGAAAAATGGTGATGGGTCATAAGGACATAAAAACCTTGAAAGGGCTCCCACTGAGACAATACGACCATTGACATAAATGATAGCCACAGATAATCTAACTTACTGCATAAAATGGGAAACTGTTTTCTGATACAAAAAATAAATGAATATATTGAAAGTTTGATCATAAAGAAGATATTTGCTGTATGTAATTAATATTTATTAATTACTAATGGGAAAATAACTTTACGATGAAGAAGGCTGGCAGACACCACCAAGTGATCAAATTGAACATCATCAGCAGTGGGGCAAATTGCAGCCCTGTGCCACCTGATATAAAGAAACAGAACTACTTCTGTGGTATTCATGACAAATAGGGCAGTGCCTGAATCTAATCATGGGGAAATGTCAACAAACCCACATTGAGGTGGAGTCTACAAAATAACAAGCCTGTTATCTTCAAGAAAGTCAAGAATAGGTTAAGAATATCTCCAGACTGAAGGACCCTAAAGAAACACAAAAACTAAATGGAATGGGAGATTGTGAATCAAATCCTTTTGCCCTGAAAGCCATTATTGGGACAACCAATGCAATTGGAGTGAAGTCTGAAGATTCAATAGTATTATACTGCATCAATGTCAGTATCCTGGTTTTGAAAGTTGTATTTTAGTTATATTGGAGAATGTCCTTGTTTATAGAAAACACACAGTAAAGTATTTCAGGATGATGGAGCTTTATATTGGCAACTTATGTGAAAATGGTTGTGGGAAAAAACATTTTTGTACTACACTTATAACTTGCCTTCACATTTGAGATTGCTTCAAAATGAAAAAAGAGAAACAAAGTGATCGTTTTAAACCTGCTTATCACACATACCTCACAAAGCCCACCGAGGGTGTTTTTTTAAATTTATTTTTTCTGCTTGCTGTTTTCATGTGTTAATAAATAGCTCAGGTTATTAATGGATCAGAAACACTGCCATTGTAGGATCATCAATAAGGGCTCTTTTCTGTACCCAGTGCACTGCCTGTGAAAACCAAGTAGTAGGACTGGTTGGGTGGTAGGTGTTTTAACTCCTATGAACAAAGTTTCAAAATGTACCCTTGATGACTTTTTTAAGTCTCTTGGCCTTTATGTTAATATACAAATAAAATTTCACCTTCAGTGTATAAGTGTCTTCCTTAGTGATCTCTCAGTGCTTTTAAAGAGGCAAATTAGTGATATAAATTCTTAGACTTTGAGAAGAACTTTGAATTAACCATTAAACTCTATTTGCAAATGCGTATCTTTTTAAAAAACATTATTTCCACCTGTTTAACCTTAATAGCATTATAAGAATATGTTTAAATAGTTGGATACATTTTGATTCTTTCCATGCTTGTGCAATAGAGCATCAGGATATAGTAACTTCTGATATGTGGCGTTCCTTGCTTTGTTTCTTTGTTATGGCTCAAAATACTTTTCTAGTTATTTCTCTTAATGATAGAGATACTTTTAACTTTAACAGAAGCCCTGCAGCAAGCATGATCGATTGTGAATGCCATTATTTTATTAGTGGAAAACGGAATCTCAGAAAAGAACATCTAGGAGATTTGTCAGAAGTATGCCAACACATATTTCATAAAATATTTATGCCTTTTTCCTTCAAAATTTATAAATTAGTAAAATCCTGGTCCTTACTCCAGACCTACTTAATCAGAAACTCTGGGGGTGGGGTCCAGCAATTTGGGGTTCACCAAGCCCTCCAGGTGATGCTGATGCAATTACACTTAAGGTAAGTGTAATTCTTAAAGTACCAGCATCAGAAACAGCATCAGCTACCTGAATTGAACACAGTGTTTAGTGAAAATTTTAGCAGAGAAGACCATTTAAGTAGGTGTCAGGGTACCTGAATGTAATACCTGGCCCTAGTCAATTTTATATTTATGATCTTGGATGAATTATTTGCCTTTTCTAAGCCATAGTTTTCCCATTTGTGAAATAGATATATTAATATCCGCTTGCCTCATGTAATTGTGAGGATTAAATGTTAGTATGTTAGGGAAATATCACATCATAGATATGAGGTAGTATATTCAGTGGTAAGCTCAAAAGCTCTGTCATTTACAAAATGGCAAAGGGTATTTAGGGTGGTACTTTATCTCCATTTAGTACCTTCCTGCATAATACTTGCAGTGCCAACTTTGAAGTCTTTTTCGCATGCCTTCAATTGCTGTAATGACATTTTCAGCAAGGGCACCACCAATCTGTTTTGATCAAGGTGGATACCGTAGCTTTTGTTTCCCAGAGTGATGCCAAATGACATAAATGTTGCAACGTAACAAGGTCTTGCTTGTACCATGTGCAACAGAATGCACTTTTTGGGCAGGTTGGCAGCTCCCCATGTTGTATTAAAGGTTACATAGCAAAAGGGCAAAAGGGGTTTTGTGTACTTCTAAAACTTGTCTTTTTTTTTTTTTTCCTGCTGAGTTGTATAGTAGAAAATTCACACTCCAGTTTTGGAGTTTAGCTCATAATTGCTGCCATTTTTAAATGTCAAAATATTTTATTTAGCTAACTATAGTTGTTTATGAAATAGGATCCATTTTTTAAATGCCAAGAAGCTCAGCTCATTAACCACTAAAAAGCGGGTCCAAGGGAAAGGCCCTACCACGTGCATTAGCGAATCATAATGTCGTACAACAGAAAAAGCTGTCTGTTCAGAGGTGAAAATCAGAATCATGTAATGGCTATCTGTTGCTTTTTTTTTTTTTTCAGTTGTTTTCCAAAACAGAAATATTTACTAATATAAATTTTATTTTATTTTTTTGAGATAGGGTCTTGCTCTGTCACCCAGGCTGGAGTGCAGTGGTGTGATCATAGCTCACTGCAGCCTCAAACTCCTGGGCTCAAACAGTCTTCCTGCCTCAGCCTCCCAAGTAGCTAGGACCACGGGCACATACCACCAAGCCTGGCTAATTTTATTTTTGTTTTTTTCTAGAGACCGGGTCTTACCATGTTGCCCAGGCTGGTCTTGAACTCCTGGTGTCAAGCAATCCTGCCACCTCAGCTTCCTAAAGTGCTAGGATTACAGGCATGAGCCACCATGCCAAGCCAATATTTACTAATATAAAGTGCAAGTTATTTTGAAAATAGTACCCATTTTCTACTTTCTTCAGAATAATGTCCATTGTCTTTACTTGTTGAAATGTGTGAAGTGGTAGAGTATAACTTTAAAGTAACTTTGTTTTTCTTTGTGCACAAAAAAAGCATATGTGGGTAAAACACCACTATGAGTAAAATAGGTGATTTCAGTTGTTTTTCTAATAATAGGAATGGTTTGATACCATCTGACTACTTTGTCTGTTATGACCAAATAACCTGTCTGAGATAACCAGGCAGGTGGGCATGTAAGTAGCGCTAAAAATAACAGAAAGCAATCTTGTCTTTACTATATTTTCCTCTTGGCTACACACACTAATCCAATAATTTATTAGCCACAAATACAGTTTTTATTATTGGAAGAATGCCAATTATAACATAGAACTGAAGAACTGAAAAGAATTTGATGATGTTCTAGGACATTTACAAAATTCCATGTAACCTCTGTAGGCTAATTAGCTTTATTTGTAATTCTCTTTTTCACAGAGTCTTAGTTTAGGGATGTAGTAGTAACAGCTCAGGAGCTTCACTTGAAAATTGTGCTTCCTGTGTCAAAATTGCTGCCCTTTCTTTTAACTAGCTGTGTAAACTTGGGCAATGTAATCTGTCAGAACTTCAGTCTCTGTATCTGTGAAGATGGGCTAAATAACCATACTGACCTCACAATTGGTATGAGGATTAAGTGAGCTAATGCACTGTAAAATGCTTAACGTAGTATATGGCACATGATAAGCATTCAACAATATTAGGTGCAGCTATTAATTTTATTATTGTTTTAGTTATTATATAGTAAGCCATTGGAGATAAAGGTGTAATATATCAGATAAGAATAAATATTGCTTTACGAAACAAGGTCGGATGTCATAAATAAAACATAGTCATCTGAAAAGAAGAAAGAACTGTTAGACTTTCTGATAGTAGATGTAAAAAGAAAAATTCAAGAGAAGGCTAGGAAACTCGAGTTGAAAAAAACCTTTCAGAAAATGGAGCAAAATTCAAAGAAAAGGAAAATAGGAGAACAAGGTAAAAAATTAAAGGATCTGTCCAGAACCTAAACAGTAGGAGTTCTAGTAAGAAAAGATGCGTGCAAGGAATTCTTTAAAGAAATAATTTTAAAAATTTATCAGAGCTAAAGAGCATGAGTTTCCAGATTTAGTGAACTCAGAAAGTGCCCAACAGAGTGACTGCATAAAAGTCATGTTAAGTCATGTTGTTGTGAAATTTCACAATGCCAAAGGGCAAACTTAGATTCTGTTCCAAAGAGAAGCAGCAGATCAGACACCCAGGCTCTAGAGTCACAATGGCTTTAGACTTCTGAACCAAAGGACATTTGAGCAATTCTAAGATATTTGGAAGCAAAATTTCTAACCACTACAATATACAATATCCAGCCAAACTATTAGTGAAATGCAAGCATAGACTAATGACACTTATGGGCATGTACATTTAAAAAAAAATTTAATTCCCACTCTCCCTTTCTCAGAAAGCACCTGGAGAATGCGCCTTTGCAAAATGAGGAAGTAAACTAAAAAAGGAGAAGACATGGGACCAAGCGAGCAGAAATTCCAACAGAGGAGGGGGTCAAAGGAAATTTCTAGGTTGATAGTGAAGGAAAATCCTAGGAAACTTTGTAGAGCAAGCCTACATTGTAACACATCCAGTCCAGATTGGGGCAGAAACACAGAGGTCTCCAGAATGGTTGGTTAAAAAAAAAAAAAAAAAAAGGAGGGGGAGGAGGAGGGGAAGGGAGAGAGAGAGGGAGATTAATGTTTTATGTGGTGATGTTTGGACCATATTGTGAACTGTTGGAGAGTTTTGTAATATATTTGTGATTGCTCAAGTAGCCACTAACTCCATGAAAAACAATATACAAGATATGAGGTGTAATCAAACATAATCATAGTAAAATATGTAGCTCAGCTGCAAACAATGTTAGCAGTCATAATAATCTAAGCACAAACTACTGATTTAACCAAAATTCATGATGTAACTATATTGAAGGAAGAAGGGAAGAAAGGGGTGTGTGTGTGTGTGTGTGTGTGTGTGTGTGTGTGTGTGGTGGAACTGGGTATATAATAAAGTAAGAATATTAAAGTTTCATCTTCCAGAATTAGGAAGTCAGTAGATATTTTCTAAAATGGAAAGCATAAGGAACAGTTGGATAAGCTTGAATACCAGAAATATCAATATAAATAATGTCAAGGTTTGCTTTTGGGAAATGGGATTCAGAGTGCGAGAGAGGGGGTAGATGACCACCACTTTTCATTATAAACTTGATAGCACAGTTTCACTTTGGAAACTTTGTGCTGATATTACTTTCATTAAAAATTAAAATGAAATTCAACCCCCTCTTACCCCCGACCCCCAAGTAAACCTAAGAATGTTTGCAGACAGAGTTGAAGCCTGGAAAGTACTATGCAAATGCTATGCATTGTTAAAAAATTTCGCAGGGTCACTGTCCCATGGATCTAACTGGTGTTTCCACTCATTCTTTTTTAGAACTTCGCCACATGCTCTAGAGTTGTGTGATACTCCTCAGTCTGTGTTTTGTCTTTTGAGACCTTGTAGATGATGAGGTTCCCAACCTGACTTGTATCCTCTTTCCTTCTACAGTTGGCCTCAGTCCCTTCCTGTTTAAAGAGAGGGGGAACAGACAAAATGATCTCTTAGGTTCTTAGGTCTCTTAGATCTTAGGTGATCTCTTAGATCTGTTTCTGAGATCATTTATAAAATCCACATCAAAGGACTATGTGAAAAACAATCGATAACCAATTCACTAATACTGAAGCAGACTGATATCTAGTCTTCCAAAATTAAATGATTTATTGAAATAGTTTGGCATTATGGAATAATGAATGAAGCAAAACCTTTAAATTTTAGAATGTGGTTTTCTTTTCCATGTGGTTTTTAACTGATGTTTATTATAATCCTATAATGTGAATTATGATGTTTTGATCTAGGTTGTATGTATTAAGTCATTTTCTAGATAGCTTTTTTCATTTGTTTTGCTGTATCTTCCATATTTGAATCTGAGACAGAGTTAATGGGGCCCTTACTGAACTTATGGGTGAATAATGTGTAATCTTGTAACCAAACTAACTTCAAAAAGCTTGGCCTGAGTATCTAGTTATCTAATGGCTGATTGAGAAATAATGGAAATAGATCAGGAATGGTTCTTACTGTGCTATAACTATTCATATAGCCAACACATTTAAGTGAACCACAAAAGGATCAATTTAATGCTAACATTAAGAGGCCAACTGGAACTACCTTTTATAGTTTTGAAGTAAAATTTTAAATCACATGAAGCACTTAATTTTATTCTTTTCACTCAGGGAGCTAACAGAATGAGAGGTCGGCTTGGAAGTGTGGACAGTTTTGAGCGGTCCAACAGTCTTGCTTCAGAGAAGGTATCTAACTAGAGCTTATTTACACTAATTACAGCTTAACAAAGTCAGCACCGATATGGTAATATGCATGCTCCAGTATTTTATTATGAATGCTTTATAGCTTTTTAAAAAATAAATATTTGAGACTTTATTATTTTAAATAAGAAGATTCTAGGCATTAGCATGTAGTTCCTTATTCCCTTATAGGCTAACTGTGCTCTGTTAGGCTTTTTATTGTTTGGAGATAATGTGCTTTGGACAACAGTATTTGAGCAACTATTGATCCAACACCTTATAAAAAATGAGCCATAGATTACTAATTATATACTTGTACAGTGATTTTATTTGTTCCCTTCCTGTGTTACTTTCCCCCCTCATTTTTTAAAATCATTTTAACTGCAACATCAGGATCTTCTTTATCTCGTAGACAACTCTCAGTAGGTTGGGTTTCCTGTTTCCTGCATAGTGCAGTATGTCACCTGAGGCACATGCAGCCTATTTTTTAAAATGGAAATATATTAAAATATTTCTATTAAACTTTCTGTTGATGGAAGTGGGGACTTAGTCCAGCTATGAGTCTATTATCACTAACCCATGTTTATCAAGCTGAATATTTCTACAGTGGTGCCTGTTCTGGAAAGTTTTAACAGCATACCTGTCTAAATTGAAAGATTTATGATTTCTACCCATGCAATATGAGATGCATTCCAGCATAGCTCGGTTTTCATTCATTTCCTGTTTTTCATGTGTTTTAAAAGAAATTTACCTCAGGGAACATGTAATTGAATAGAAACGTCCACAGTGAGGGAAGACACTTAACAGACTTTATTTTCCGGAAGGCTTTGCCATGAGACTTGGACACTTAGGCATTGTAATACTGTTTTGGCAGTACAGGAAGCATGCAATTGATATGCCACGGAAGCCAGGAGATACGGAAACACAGACTCCACCCTCTTTGGTCATGATCTTTTTTCATCTCTCTGGCAACAGTGAGAGAAGTACAGTAGCTATAGCGTTTTGTGGCCAAGTGTCAGGGGAGAGAATACCTTTCACTTTTTTGTCATCCCTCTCACTTTCTGGCCTGTCTTTACGGATGCTGTCTTACAGCTGCTTATCCGAAGATAAGTGGGTTGTGGTGATACTGATTACAGCTGCTTATCAGAAGATAATGGGTTGTAGTGATACTGATTAGCCTACGGCATAAATTCAGTAAAAGGGGGAGAAAAAAAGCAGTTTTGTCATGACTCAGGAGGAAGATGAGGCACACTGTCACTTTTGAGCTCTGTGTTTTGGCAGGTCTGCCATGACCCACTTGGGAAATAAAGGGCTCCCTTCTGCCTGTGTTTCAGGACTACTCACCAGGGGACTCTCCACCAGGGACACCGCCAGCATCCCCACTGTCCTCAGCTTGGCAAACGTTTCCCGAAGAGGATTCTGACTCCCCGCAGTTTCGAAGACGGGCACACACATTCAGCCACCCACCTTCAAGCACAAAAAGAAAGCTGAATTTGCAGGATGGGAGGGCTCAGGCTGTGCGTTCCCCTCTGCTGAGGCAGAGCTCCAGCGAACAGTGCAGGTGAGTCTGACCCTCTCTCCAGGATGAGACCTAGATTCTCATGGCACACAGTTTGGATTACTCTGGAGTCAAGGTGGATGGTGAATTTATGCTCTAGTCAACTTTCAGTTTTGAGAACCACCATAAAAACAATTTAAGTCACCTCATTTACTAGGGGAAACAGGCAAGGTTAAGGCATACCCAGAAAGAAGAGTTATTTCGTTGGGGTGGAAACTCTTTTTTTTTCCTTTCAGAAAAATGGAAAAAACGAGATAACCATGCAATTGTTTTGTCTGAAAACCTGCTGATAACATGTTACTCAGTGTCTTGATGATGATTCTAGAGAAACAAAGTCAGCAGATTTGAAAATAGCATAGCAGTAGAACTTCCTGTTAGCTTACAATAAAATACCAGGGTTTTAAAAGTCACCTGAGTTACTTTCATACATGAGATAATATTTGGCTATATTATGTTACATAATAAATTAAAGCTAAATATGAAAATTGTTTTAAATTGTATCTAGAATAAAGTGATATCTATAAAGAAGAATACATATACCATAATTGACAGGCAGTGTCCACTTAGAAAAGATCTTGCACAGTATTTAAAATATAATTTAAGAAAAAGTTGTTTGATATTTGGTGAGAAACAGTAAAGAGGATAAATTTGGAATGATTTTCTTCTTCCTGTGTAACACAGATCAAATTTATATCTTAGAACTCGTTTTGTTTCTCTTATTTACCTATGAATTTGATACAGAAAATAGGGTTAAGTAAAGATGCTGGTTGGAGAGGAAAAGAAAAAACACAACTCAATGTAAAAGGAGAAGGCTAATTTTTATATCACGTGTTACAAAATTTGCCAGCATTTCTTTTAAGGACACGGTTTTATTTTCATTGTTGTTTTCTGAATGATTCGAAATTTAAAAATGAGATATTTTATGATAGAAAAATAAAGTTAACAGAATTCATTATTCTCAGATTTTTTTCTGTGTGTGTAAAGGATATTAAATAGTCATATGTATATCAAGATATTTAAATGATCACTTCATTTATATTTACTCAAGGCAATAGAACACTTTTTTTTCCAGGAAAAATTATTTTCAAGAATTAAAGACTTCTATCATTTTAGACTATAAATATCTTAATCCTTCCCTCTGTTTTCCACATTTTATAATGTATAAGTTATGATTTCTACCCATGCAATATGAGATGCATTCCAGCATCTTTATAATGTATAAGTTCAAACAATTTCTATCACTATAAAAAATGCTCTCTGTGTTTTATAATGTATTTTATAATGTATAAGTTCCACATTTTATAATGTATAAGTTCAAACAATTTCTATCACTATAAAAAATGCTCTCTGTGTCATTGTGAAAGCTTGCTATGCAAAGAATCTTCTAGATTTTGGGCTTTCAATTAAACCATAGTGGCACAATTCCACTGTCTTCGGGAAAGAACACGGACATTAATGTTTGTTAAGCCAAAGGTATTATGATAACTTCCAACAACCAAACATGTTGTTCTTAAATATTTAGAAGGGTTTATATCTTTAAAATAGTCAAAGTCTTTGAACTAGTGATAATCAGTCTTTCCTTCTGGAACTTGTTTCCTGTAATTATTTGTGCTTTCCTACTTTTTTCCCTTGAAGTGTCTTTTGCATGTGAAAACAAATACTTTTTGTCCTCAAGTTGTTAAGAATTTTTTAGAGACAAACACAGATGCTTAGAAATACTGTATAGATAAGGAATTCAAATTGTGAAAGAATGAAATTAGGTCATAGTCATCTAAATAGAGAACTGCATGCTTTTTTTTTTTCCTCATGTAAGATCCAGCCCTGAGCCTTGAAAGGAAAGATTAAATTAATAGCAAGAACCTGTTTATATGCTTTTTCATAGTGAATGAAGATATTAAAATATAAATTAAGACAAATTTGCTGTATTTTCTGTACTCAGCACTCTTTCGTCAGTTCGACGCATGTACAAGGAGAGTAATTCTTCCTCCAGTCTTCCAAGTCTTCACACTTCCTTCTCTGCCCCTTCCTTCACTGCCCCCTCTTTCCTGAAAAGCTTTTACCAGAATTCAGGTAGACTGTCCCCACAGTATGAAAATGAAATCAGGTGAGATCAGTGTCCTCTGTTTGCAAAGCAAAATTTTCTGCAGTGATATACTGATACGTTACTAAAAAGTGGTTGATTAATTTTGGAGTGACATTTATGCATCCCTGTGTTGTGCTTGTTCTAATCTGTTTCTAATAATATATTGGTTTCAATTACAATTAATTTTATTAAGAAAACTTTTTCAACCAGTAGCTTCAAAGCTTTTTGATGACATTATTATCTTTTTGAATTATGTTTTTTTGTATTGTTTGTGTGTTTCTTTTTCTCAGACTCCAGAGTCTAAGCTTTGTATTGTTAGCACAACTGATGCTAACATATACTAAGTTAACCTTCCCTGATCGTGCCTTTTTTTTCTTGGCCTTTCTAGACATATTTAATGGAATCCAAAAGCCACTGATTGAAACAACTGTACTAAACTGATAGATACAATAATATCTTTATTTTTAAGTATATAGAATATTTCCTAGGCATTTCTTTGATTTTTCAATGACAGACTTTTCTGGATCTCAATATAAATCACACAGTGGTTACAAGATCATGTTGATAGCAACTCTCAGATAGCATGAGGGATCTGTAAGGACTTCTTGAATCTTGTGAACATTCTATTTTGTTTTGTTTTTATCTCCAGTATGGAAAAGGCATAGCCTGTTAAATCTTACTGCTTGTTCTTTTAGTAACACAAAATTAGATGTAGTGATTTTTGGAGAATTACTTTTTAAAAAAAAATTAAAATTGTACATGCAATAATATTGATCACTCAAATTCTTAGTGGGGTGCTGCAACCTCTAGAAAGTAGTGGACTTAGTCGGGAACCTTTCTAAATTTGTTGGTGATGCAGATGTTTGTGAGATTCGTTCCTATTTTTGTGTATAGCTTGACTTATTCACTTTTATCACTGTATAGTATTCCATTTCATACATTATAGTTTATCCACTCTTTGCCGATGGATATTTGGGTTTTTTCTTGTTGTCTGATGATTGGCAATTCTTGTAGTCAGAAGAGGAATACATGTTATCCACTAGCCTGTGTGCCATTAACATCTTCTTGGATATTCTTTTGGCCTATTTCTGTTAGACATAGGATGTACTAAAAGTTAACATATAACTAGGTAGCACTCAGTCACTAGTTAAGTTAGACTAATCCTTGAATTATTCCTGAGGATCTTTTGTCCATGTGTGCCTTTTTTTTTCACTTTAAGAAAGTTAACTAATACTGGATTAGTATAATTTTGATCCTGAACTTTCCTCTGAATTAGTACAAAGTCATGTTCAAACATTGAATTTGATTTATAGTGAAGAAAATATGTGAAGAATTTAGAGTGCTATCAGGCACAACCTTATGGAAGAAATTTCAAGGGATATAGCCACAAAACTACTATAAGATATATAGAATATGAAACGAGTTTAGAGAACCAAGAATATACATGAAGATATCAGTTTGCATTATCTCTATAATACTGCCTACTAACAAGAATACAACACTTTCAACCAAACCTATTTGCGTTTTCTTATTCTGTTGGTTAAACTGAGCATGTGGAGAATCCCAGTTTCCTTCCTGAGAGAACCATGCCTGAAAGTGACGATTAGCAGTACCCATTAAGAAGATCAAAGGTTAACTGTAACTAGGATGTAAAGCACAGAAGTGGTGGCTTCTGTCTATAAAGATTATTCATATTGTTTAATGTAAGATTATTCATTTGCTTTCAGGAGTTCCTGCTTAGCTGTATGTATAATTTTTGCAAATAGCTTCCCAAAGCCCTCTATGCCTCATTCTAATAGAAGGATATTGAAGTCAGAGGGCAAATATACATTAGTTTTGGGTTGAAAAATTTCACCTGTTTGTAGCTGTGTTATTTTAAGTGCTGTATTGAAATATATGGCAAACTTTTAAATTTCTAAGATCATTAAAAATTATTGTTTTCTGTATGTTTTAATGTTTTCTTGGCTATGTGCAGTTCTAAAAACCAGAGAGTACTTTTTGTACCGTTTTCTACATTTTGTAAGTTTGATAGCATAAAATCAATAGGCCAAAATTATACTTAAAAAAATTGTTTTCCCAGAAAAGGACACCAATTTAAAAGCACACAGCTCAGTAGATTATCGCAGAGTGAACACCTCTATTTCTCCTTCACCCCGGTCAGTAAATGGAATGCTAGCAGCATGTGTGCAGCTCCTCCCATGTCCCCCATCTAATCACCATCCCCATGCTGACCTCAGACATCCTAGATTAGTGGTGCTTGGTTTTGAACTTTACATAAATAGAATGATACAGCCTATATTCTTTTATCTCGCATCTTTCACTGACATTCGTTTGTGAGATTTATTCCTGTTTTAATGAGCATTTTACTTCATTCATTTTATTGCTATATAGTATTCCATTTAATATATCTGAATTTTTCCATTCTCTTGTGAATAGACATATGGGTTGTTTCTAGGTTTTTGACTTCAAAAAGAGTCCTGTCTTCACTATTATTATACATGTCTTTAATGTACCTACATATGCATTATTATTATTATTATTATTATTTGAGATGGAGTCTTGCCCCATCGCCCAGGCTGCAGTGCAATAGCGCAATTTCGGCTCACTGCAAGCTCCACCTTCCGGGTTCACGCCATTCTCCTGCCTCAGCCTCCTGAGTAGCTGGGACTACAGGCGCCCGCCACCATGCCCGGCTAATTTTTTTGTATTTTTAGTAGAGACGGGGTTTCACCATGTTAGGCAGGATGGTCTCGATCTCTTGCCTTCATGATCCACCCGCCTCGGCCTCCCAAAGTGCTGGGATTACAGGCCTGAGCCACTGCGTCCAACCCTACATATGCATTATTAATGAATATCTACACAGTAGTAAAATTGTTGGACAAAATGTTCTCTTAATAGGTTTATCTCAACCAGTAAGTCACTTCAACATAATTGTACAAGTTAGAAGCTTGGAGAGTTTTAAATTTGTATTTTGAAATAATTTCAAATTTATACTAACGTTGCAGAAGTATTGCGGAGGATTCCTGTTTAACCATTTATCCAGGTTAATCAAGTTTTTATATTTTGCTACATTTGTTTTATAATTTTTGGTCCATTTACATATATATACATACATATATATGCACATCTATATTTCCTCATTCTAAGCCGTTTGTGAATAAGTTGCATGCATCGTGCTCCTTTATTCTTAGTACTTTAGGGTGTATTTCCTAAGAAAAAGGGTATTCAATTCTAGAGCATGGTTTCTGAAACCTTGTGGTTCCTGAACTCTACATTCTCATTATCACTTGGTTTAGAGAGACTATCATGTACACGTCATTACCATGATATCTGAAACTATTCAGCATAGTGAGGGGAGAAGGTTGTAGCATGATCAGTTATAATTTTCTTGTCACTTGAGTACTTAATATCTTATTAGTTGCATAAAATGGATCTCTAAATATGCATTGTCAAGTAGAGAATATGGTAGGGTAGGAGATAGGCTAACAATACTATTACTTTTTTTTTTTTTTTTTTTTTTGAGACAGAGGCTCGCTCTGTCGCCAGGCTGGAGTGCAGTGGCGCGATCTTGGCTCCCTGCAAGCTCCGCCTCCCGGGTTCACGCCATTCTCCTGCCTTAGCCTCCGGAGTAGCTGGGACTACAGGCACGCGCCACCATGCCTGGCTACGTGGTTTTTTTTTAAATTTTTAGTAGAGACGGGGTTTCACCATGTTAGCCGGCATGGTCTCGATCTGACCTCGTGATCCGCCCGCCTCGGCCTCCCAAAGTGCTGGGATTACAGGCGTGAGCCACCACGCCCGGCCTACTATTACTTTTTTAAAAGCACGTTAATTTGAAATTTTAAATTCAGATTAGGCATCCTTTTCCAGGACCACGATCCTGAATTATTGAAAACATGTTAGGTTACTGTTTTTAAGCAGGCTGAGAAAAAGGAGCCAAGATCTTTTTAATAGTTGGTTAGTGGATTTACTTGCACATAACTGAAATGATAGAGGAGAGGGAATGTGTGTATTTTTTGTTTTACCTCACTTTGAATTAATTTTTCAAAATTTAATGTTATTTCATTGTTTAGTAAACTTTAATTTATATGATATGGTATATTTTTATAACATCTGTTTATTAAATATTATCACAGGCATATTTGTTACTTTTTACAATTGCTTCTCAGGTTTTAAGGCTGTGCTTAAATATTTATTTATGTTGAAATTTATTGCTCAGAAGTAAATGACAGTCAAAAAAAGGTAAATGATAGATATTACTTCTATTTACTTATAAACCTTTTCAATGAGAAAATAAAATCTTTGATGATGAAGTACTTTGTGGTATAGTTTTTGTTCTTTGTTTCTCTTGTATTCAGTGAAAAAAATAGTATAATTATTCATTGTAGTTCATTATTGAAGTAACCTTACCATGACTTATTGATGACTTATGAGAATGTCTTTTATTCTGGATCCTGATTTAGACATATTTCTCTTTGTGTGTGCTAATTCCATTCCTTGTTTTCCTGTTGTGCCAGACAAGACACTGCTTCAGAATCAAGGTGATTGGAGGTCTAAATATTTTTATTAAAAAAAATTCACAGATTCTTCCAACTGCACATCATCATTAGTTTCAAAAGCAGTTTTGTTTGTCTCCTGAATGCATGCCATCGTTCTGAGTGCTCTGAGGTCTACATAGTAGGGAAAATGTGACTCTTGCTGTAATCAGAACGTGAATTACCATGTAAAATGTTGATTGCAAACAGAAATCCTGTTTCTACTCTATTCCATGCTGAAATTTCCTTAGAGCTGTGCTGTGGCCTTCAACCAAAGCCTAATTTTAATTTTAAATTAATAGAAGTGAATTTGCTAGTTAGGGTGTACATATATGCCTAAGTGGACTTTATTCCAAATGCCAAGAAGATGCAGAAATGAGCATCCTAAAAGAAACATACTCACAAAATTGAATCTGCCTTTCAACTGAAGAAGACTGTTCATCTATTTCTGTTCACCTAAATTCCTGTCACCTTAGTTGCTTTGAGACACTGCTAAAGCCGTTCAGATCTCCCATTTGTCTGGACACAGGAAACACCTAGTTCCTTATTATGGAAGTGTGACCACATCTGTGTTGACATCTCTTGACTCACAGGCTTTTTCTGTGGTAAACATCCAGAATCACTGCTAACAACCACTACGAATAACTATCCTCTGCTTTATTCCTGTTCTATATGTTGCTCTTATCATGAGCCCAGTGAAAAAGATACATGCCCATCTTCCTATTTGGGCCACTGTTTAGATTTCTTTGTAGCTAAAGTGAAAATGTTAAGTATTGCGCTAGAATGAGATGTTCAAGGAGAAAAAACCCTCAGAAAATTATTTTGGCAACAATGATTAGATTAAAAAGTGACTTTTTTGAGACTTGTAATTGGCAAATCTCAGTTGTGGTTAGGTGTAAGACCATTTAGATAATACTTCTTACCTATTCTTAAAAGCCTAATGGAAATGTTAGTTCTGCCTTGTGTCCTTTATGTTTTGCTACAGGTATGGAATTAAGTCCATCTATTACTTGAGAGATAATCTAGCCTACGATTTCCTTATTTTACATGTGGTTAGCTTGAACTCCAAAGAGCTTTTATATTTTGCTTGATTTTTTTTCAGCTTGGGTCATAATGATATAAATAAACATATGAGATACCCAGATATGTTTTAAATTCCAATGTACTGAACTTATTTTCTTAAAATCTGCAGTGTGTCGAGTTTAGGAAATAAAACTCTTTTTTTTTCTCCTCCTTTTATCTACACGTTGTTCCACTGACTATCTCTTTGGACTCATAGGTCAAATACTATGTATTGATTTCCACTAGAATAGTTTAATCTCAATTTTATTTAATTAGTAAATATTTTCCATAGGATAACAGATGTGTATGCAGTTGAAAGCCAGAACCTATATAAACTGTTAGTGCACCTGATACAATTATGAGTTAAATTGTAGTGTGGATCCTGTAGAAAAAATATGGTTTCATTTCTATGTTGTTTTACTTAGCATTTCTTAAGGCTTACAAAGAGAAAGGTTTTTCAGCTTTCGGTTGACTAGTTGCTATCACACTAATCAAGTTTTGATATCTATCTTATGTTGTAATTCATGGTGATTTAGATATAGATTTAGCCATTGTTTAGTCATTTATTTGGACTTTAGAGATAGAGTCTTGCTGTGTCATTCAGACTGAATTGCAGATACTGGGAGTTTCAGCTGGGTGCCAGAGGGTTGGGGGACAGGAGGCAGGTTGCTGCTCAGCAGAACACCGCCTTTGTGAGACTGGTCCTGACAGAAGAGTTTACCTTTGTGCAAAGTGTATGTACGTTGCCCTGGCAGGAAGTAAAATACGACTACATCCTTCTTAAAGTTGAGTCTCTGTGAGTGGTCATTAGAGCACCTCCATTCTGCACAATAGTCAATGAATTCTTTTAAAGCAGGCAAGTAGGCGTTACAATTCTGTGTTAAAATAAGAAGTATGATGTTGATTTAAGAGTTGATCTGGTGAAGGCTATAACTGCTTGTTCAAGGATATGTTAAAAGACTATCTTGAAGCTTTGACAAGTTCATATTATAGCATTTGATGGATGCTATATACAAAGGACTTAGAAATAGCCTTCCTACCCTATATTGGGGAATATATGTAATATGGGATTTTTCTCTCCATATAAAGGCTTAATTTATGTTCACAAATTGTAGTTCTTAATTAATTGGTGAGTGGTAAGAGGGAGTATATATACAATATACCAGTCAAAAATGGGTGGGAGTTCTCCAAGTTATATTTCCTTCCTAGCTACTCATTTTTAACTTTGTGAATTTCTGATAGAGGTAATGCTGGCACAGAATACTTTTCCTGAATATGTGTCTTGGGAAGCAGTTTTATAATACACGTGTTTAGATTCCAAAATACAAAAGAAGAAGGAAAAAGATTCTATGGAAACATAAGGGAATGGTTATAATTTGCTTCATGATTTTAAACATGTAAAGATGATTAAGATACCAGTGTCTGTATATTCAACTGTATTAAGGTGTTTTTTTATTTGGTCCTTCTATTTACAGTTAAAAGTATATACATTTTGGAATGTAATTATTTCAAAGCAAAGAAAAGGAAGTGAGACATTTACATAAGCGAGCACCTGATAGTACTCTGAAGTTACTTCTCTGTTGATATAAAATTAATCCATTAAAAAATGGACAGAGAAGTACCCAACACAGAGGCTTAGTGCTAATTGGAGACTTAATTTTTCACCAGAAATGCAGAGGATCCTGGGGATCCCAACAGCTTTGTTTTTGTGGTCCTATAGAGCTTTGTTCAGAACTAATGCAGAGTATTTATGCTGGCAGGATAAGCTGCAGTGCCTAATGTCTGTATTCTGGACCACCTAGGTTTGCATCCTGGCTCCTTCACTTTATTATCTGTGTAACTGTGGGCAAGTTACTGAGCCTCTTTCTACTTTAGTATTGTCACTAAAAATGGAAGTAGTAATGACACCTACCTTGTAAGGTTGCTGTAAGGATGAAATTAATTCCTATTTATAAAATGTTTAGAATAATCGATACCTGGCATGAAGTATATGCTGAGAGTCTTAGCTTTATTATTATTACAGTAAACACTGCGTGTTGTTTTGTTTTTATTTTTACTCAAAAAGTAGACATTATGCTTTCTTATCTAAGTTTAATTAAAGGAAAAGTCAATATGATAACTAATATTGTAATAAAAAACAAACAAACCAAAAGAAATAAACTCCCCCCACCCCCATCCCAGTGTAGTTTCCAAGTTGGGTTATAGGAATTTTGATGCAGTGTTTCATTTGGTTTTGATTCTTGCAGTTGCCACCTTAAGAATGTCAGATTGCTGACTAAATGTAAATCAAACAGGAAACTGTTATAAGTTGCATAATTGCACTGACTGCTTAAATGTTTATTGGGAACTTGACTTCTGAATACAGATCTTCTCTTATTAAAAGCAGAGCTGCTTTTGCCATATCTCAGCAACCAACTGCATTTTCAAGATGTCGATTTTTAGTACAAGATAAAGGGTCAATGGTTTGTTCTGTAAGTTCTTTTCAGTATATTATTATCTTTTATTTTTACTGCTAATTTTTTGGCTTATAACTAGTCATTAAATTCCAGACATGGGAGAAAAATATGTCATTGGGCAGTTTATTCATATTATGGGATTTAAAATTTTAGGTTTATGAACTTTCTGAATATGTATCAGTGGGCTAACGTGAATACTGTATGCACCTCTTTTATAACATACTGCCCCCCCAAACTTTGTATTTTATAGACAATCATGAAACTGATATGGGTGCAGCTCAGTTTTATTTTTAGTACCTTCTAAACACTTGATATGTCATTGCAGTGAATTGGAAGGTGATTCTTACAAGCTGTATTAATTTCAGCATTAAAATATAAACATTTCAGAATCCTTTGATTTGGTCAACTCTGGTTTGTTAGAGCACTAAAAAAGTCAAGGTAAATTAATATTTGTTGATCTTTTGCCCTGTTGGAGCATTGAAATAGTGCTTTTAAATAAGTATTTCATTTAGCTTTCAAAGCTTAAATTATAAATTAGATTCCTTTATATAGGAAAGGAATAACACTTACTAGAAAAAATATGCTTTTTGTTGTTTATTAACAGCATTGTCATGGTCAATACCTACCAGTGCCATCAACAGTTCAGAACACACTTTAGAAAAACAAAGCTATTAGGACTTGACTCCCAATAAAGGGTTTTAAGAAGGTAGATCTTTTATTTATTCCTGACATGTTAGCCTAGCCAATATTTTTGTCTGTTTCACTTAACCTTCAGAGTTAATATGTCATTTAGTTTTAGAAAATATTAATTTATTCAGTAGATATTTTTGAGTGCTTATTATTTGCCCATTACTACACTAGAAGCTAGAAATACACCTATGAACTGGGCATTTAGCAAATAACTGCCAGCAAGATCGTGTTACAAAAATGAAGATAATGAATACTTCAACAGTATTTATTGGGTTGTCACTAGTATATATAGAACACTCGAATCATATCTTTAAAAGGGAAATACTTGCATTAATGTTTTCCAAAGTGCAAGTAAAAGAAAATGTATATATTCAATATTTCAGGAATTTTTTTTTTTTTTTGGTTTTGTTTTGTTTTGTGAGACAGAGTCTTGCCCTGTTGCTCAGGCAGGAGTGCAGTGACGTGATCTCGGCCCACTGCAACCTCTGCCTCCTGGGTTCAAGCAGTTCTCCCACCTCAGTCTCCTGAGTAGCTGGGATTACAGGCGTGCACTACCGCACCTGGCTAATTTTTGTATTTTCAGTAGAGACAGGATTTTGCCATGTTGGCCAGGCTGGTCTCAAACTTCTGACCTCAAGTGATCCACCTGCGTCGGCCTCCCAAAGTGCTAGAATTACAGGTGTGAGCTACTGTGCCCAGCCTCAGGGAGTTTTTAAAAAAAATTTTTTTAGTTATAATTTTATTTTAAGATGGAGTCTTGCTCTGTTGCCTAGGCTGAAGTGCAGTGGCGCATTCTCGGCTCACTGCAACCTCTGCCTCCTGGGTTCAAGAGAACCTCGTACCTCCCAGGTAGCTGGGATTACAGGCGCCCGCCACCATGCCCAGCTAAGTTTTTTTTTTTTTTTTTTTTTTGTATTTTTGGTCGAGACAGGTTTTCACCATGTTGGCCATGCTGCTCTTGAACTCCTGACCTCAGGTGATCCGCCTACCTCGGCCACCCAAAGTGCTGGGTTTACAGATGGTGAGCCACAGCTCCTGGCCACTGCCTCAGGAATTTTGAACAATGGACACATATTAGGGTTATAATGTTATCCAAGATATATAATAACCAGAATTTGACTATATTGAGATATATGTATCAAGTACTGTACTTTCTAAAATATCACATCATAATACTTACTGTCTGCACAGCAGCTCAGAAGTCTTTTTTTAACTTTAATTTAGTCAGTCCAGAAGTAATGTTTCTATAACACAGATCCAGACTAGAACTAACTGAATTGACTGAGTAAATAAAGATACGATAGGCAGTTGCTGAATTGCTCTTCTCACTATTAATTGCCTCAACACTATGGAGTTCCTTTGAGTATCTGAGGGTGGCTGTTCTAGCTGAGCTTTGTTTCTGACCTCAGCACTGACCTTTTTGATTCCATCAGAAGTCTTATACCTTCATTTGTTGGTATCATCACCTGTAAATATTGGTATCCTCATCGTTCTGTCAGGCAAATTTAGACTGTGAAACTTAAAAATGTAAGATATCCCTGCCACTAACAGCACCAATTATTGTGAGGTCTTCCAGCAGCAAACATAGTTGATCTCAAAAATAATTTTGAGTCATACTGACCTTTTTTTGCAGATAGGCCATCATAACTCAAAGTGGTCTTTTCTAGGAAATGAAATGTTTACAGTAGAGGAGCATTTCCCTATGCACTAATATAGAATGACGTGACACTCCTCCCTGCCCCCCCAAAAAAAAAATTGAGGGAGGTGATTCTAGAGTCAATTAATTTCAATAAGTTGGGGAATTTCTATACACTGTTTCCCTGTTGGAGAGGTATAATGCATGCCAGTGTATTAACAGTCTCTAACAAGTACTGCTATAAAGAAATCTGTTAACACTTTTTAACAGGCTGGGTGTGGTGCCTCATGTCTCTAATCCCAACACTTTGGGAGCTGAGACAGGAGAATTGCTTGAGCGCAGGAGTTGGAGACCAGAGTGGGCAGCACAGTGGGACCCTGTCTCTATGATGATTTTTTAAAACAAATAGCCAGGTGTGATGGTGTGCACCTGTAGTCCCAGCTACTCGGGAGGCTGAGGCAGCAGGATCTCTGGAGCCCAGGAGGTGGAGACTGCAATGAGCTGTGGTTGTGCCACTGCATTCCAGCCTGGGTGAAAAAATGAGACCTTATCTCACAAAATAAATAAGTCAATAAAAATTTTAAAAGATCTATTTTTTAACTTAGCCGTCCAATCTTATTTGACCCCCAGTTTTTTCTTAGTATATCACCTAACAATAATCCCAAGGTTGACTGTTCTGCCTATATTCAGGTTATCTTCTGCCATGATCCAACTATTGGTGGCTGACAATTCAGAGACAGATCTTAACAGTCATAGGCAATTAGAAACAGTCTTTATTGACATATTCTATAAGAGCTCTAACAAAAGCACTTTGTGAGCCTTTTATGGAATATTTACCTTGTTTTGAATAAGCTATTCATGTTATTTCCTTAGCAAAGCATGAGTTCATGACTTAAGCAACCTGTATTCCTCCTTATAAGTGCTTCTGTTCCTCAGATTAGAACTAGGACTGGTTGGCTGCTAAGGAATGAGTAGAAACAGGGGAGCTTCTCTTGACTGGGCTGTGGCCTAGATTGCTGTTTCCCCAGGATGTGGTGGCCTGGGTGACTAGTGTGCCTGGTGACGCATTGCTCCATGTTGCCTGTGGCTTGTGCTTGCCCGTGATGGAACTTGTGAATGGCTTGTGCTACCAGTTGGTTGTAAAGTGCCATGATGTGCAGCTCTCCTTACAAGTGGTATGTTTATTTGCTTTCAACAGTGATGGAGAAGGGAGGAAAAGGACCTCGTCTACCTGCAGCAATGAGTCCCTAAGTGTGGGAGGAACCTCTGTCACTCCTCGCCGGATCTCCTGGCGGCAGCGCATTTTCCTCAGGGTTGCTTCTCCCATGAACAAATCATCCTCAGCAATGCAGCAGCAAGGTCTGTGTGGTGCTCCCCAAGGAATTCACCCCTATAAGTGTCAGAAATTAGCTAATGGAATGCAAATGCTGTGTATAAAGAGATTTAAGTGATGACAGTGTAGAAATAACTTTCTGTATGTGACACAGTGGTTTCTCTTTCAGGTACCATTAGAAAACATTAGACAGTCAATACCTGATTGTTGAATGAATGAATGAGTGAGAAAGTTTCCAAAAACCTGTACTTGGGCCTACTCCACAAGGTAGAGGGAACTATGATAGTGCTAGGAAAGAAGTCATGTGTCCTTTTTCTTTCTTTTCTTTTCTTTTTTTGCCCCAGAGATCAGGCCTTGCTCTGTTGCCCAGGCTAGGGTTGCAGCAGTGTAATCATAGCTCACTGTAGCCTTGAACTCCTGGGCCCAAGCAATCATCTTGCCTCAGCTTCCAAAGATCTTTCTATTAGAAAAGCAACATAGCCTTTTATAAGAGCCACACATAAAACAAACTGATGTAGAAATATTGAGCAATAAAGGAATGTATACAATACACTAGGCAAATACTAAGCAAAAGAGAGCACAGGCAGCTCTTTTTGAGTAATTGACTTATTAAATTAAAGCCAAAGCATCCAAAGAGGCAAAGCACATGTAACAGTAAACAAAAAGATAGAACAATCATGAGAACATACATAATGATGTAATTTTGAGAGCTAGAAAATAACACCTAAAAGAATTCTGGAGTGAAATCACTAAATTAATAGCTCCCATGGGAGATTTTAACATATTCATCTTTAGAAATTAAACATAAATAGTATTTGAGTAACACAAATAAATAAGCTTGACTTAATATTTATACAGAACTTTGCTTCCTATAGAGAAAGCTCACTAATTTTTAGCACACTTGGAACATTCATAAAATGTAATTATGTACCTGTCCACAAAGATTTTTAAGTAAATCATTTTGAAATTCAGATAACCATAATCGTTTACACAAATATTATCTGACCACAATGCCAAAAAAAGAAAGAAATCAAGGATTAGAAGACAAGTAGAATGACATGTGTTTGGGAATAGAAAACTACTCTTGGAAGCTAGTAGGAAGAAAATTCGATGATTAGAGTCTTACCCATTAAAATGGATTTAGGGAGCCGTTAAAAGCCATGAATATGTTTATATAAAATCAAGAATGCCAAAAATTAGTTATACTGAGTGTTCAATTCAAAAAGCTAGTTTGAGCCAGGTATTAAAATTTTAAAACAACAACGGGAAAACATATGGAAGTAAATAATAAAAGTAAAGGCAGAGGTCAATGAATAAAAACAAAAATAGAAGGAAACAACTGGTATTAATAAAGATGAAGTTAACTCTGCCTGAGATGGTCAGAAAAAGCTTCACAGAACATGAGACATTTATTTAAACTCATTGCTGAAGAACCGTGCTTTAGAAAGAAGGAATGACAAAGCTCTGGAGTCATTTGAGTGAACTTTTCAGATCAGAGAATCATGAGAAATTCAGCATGATGGATGCAAAGAATGGGAGATTGATATATGATACTAGAAATCTGAGTGGAGACCAGAATCTGAAGGGACTTAAATGTTAGTCCCAATTTGTTCTTAGGATATAAGCAACCATTGAAATGTTTTAAGAGATGTGATTATGGTTGTTAATAGGAAAATCATTGGCAGTAGGAAGGGAGAGAAAGTCACCTGTTATGGGAGTGTTGCACATGGAATGCTGCACAGCCATGAAAAAGAATGAAATCGTGTCCTTTGGAGCAACATGGATGTAGCTGGAGGCCATTATCCTAAGAATTAACACCTGAGTAGAAAACCAAATACTGCATGTTCTCACTTATAAGTGGGAGTTAAACAATGAGTACACATAGAAACAAAGAAGGGAACATTAGACACTGGGACCCCCTTGAGGGTGGAGGGTGGGAGGATGAGGATTGAAAACTACCTCTCAGGTACTGTGCTTACTACCTGAGTGGTGAAGTCATTTGTACATCGTACCCCAGAGTCACATAATTTCCCCATGTAGCAAACCTGCACATGGACCCCTTGAACCTAAAATAAAAGTTGAAAAAGAAAAAGAAAAAGGTGTTGCAGGAGGAGTGAGCAGACGGAGTACTGTGCTCAGCCAGGAGAGACCCAGCATTGCTCACTGGCTCTGCTTCTGATGGATTCTGATGATCGATGTAGACCTTTGGAGATCACTGATCCCTAGCCACTTAATTTGCTTGTTCCTCACAGCCAGAGAATATACGTAAGTAAATTGCAGAAGTGTTGGACTCAGGAGAGGCCAGTTAGTTTGGGGGCACCTATTTTACAGAGCTCTCTGGGTAGAAAGAAGAAGTGGTGAAATGACCTATGCTTTTGTTTCATCATGACAGGGAAATCTAGAAGGGGAATTCAGTCTAATGAATTCGCTTAAATATTAGCTCCAGAAACTAAGTTACGGGGAAAGCAGCTTTGTGACATTTTTAAGTGTAGAAGATTAGATGAGAATGTGAATTCTACAGAAACTTGTGTAGTCTAGGTTACTGCTAAGGAATGCCTCTCACTGTGTTCTTCTCGGCAGATGGATTGGACAGGAACGAGCTGCTGCCACTGTCCCCTCTCTCTCCAACCATGGAGGAGGAACCACTGGTTATATTCCTGTCTGGGGAGGATGACCCAGAAAAGATTGAAGAAAGAAAGAAATCAAAAGAACTGAGGAGCTTGTGGAGAAAAGCTATACACCAACAAATCTTGTTGCTTCGAATGGAAAAAGAAAACCAGAAACTTGAAGGTTAGCCATTCTAACAGATTAAATGCTATGATGCTATGATTGAAGGGTGTAGGTTAAACCTACCTTTCTCTTCCCATACATGCCATCTGCACTCAGTTTTGGACTGTATGCACACTTTAAGAAGAATATCTGCTGATTGTAATTGTTGATTTCCATTTTGTGAGGTGGTTATAACATGGGAAAGGTCAGCTTATAAGATATTTGTGGTTTTGTTTTAAATGGGTTTGTATTTTAAATAGATTTAAGACATAAGAAACCCTTTGAGTATATTTAGGTAAAATAGAATGTAGATAATATGGAATCAATATATTTGATGTGTCTGAAAGTTTATTATCTTAGTGTCACTTCTAAAAAATCCTTAAATATGAGAAAGCAAATTTTTTCTTTGAATGTGATTTTCAAGTTTCAGGTTAATTACATTCATAATGGGAGAAATATGCCTACTTCAAATAAATTCTACTTACATTGTATTCAATTTAAATATTTAATTGTAATTATCTGTTATCAAGCCAAATCTGTTCCTATTTTTTGTTAATGCTTTGTAAATTTTCTATTTAACAAAATTATATTCAAGTTATTATATTTATAATCAAATAATTTATAATAGATTTTGTACTGTTTGTGGTGGTTTATTGCTAAGTTTATGATTACCAAATGCTTTGGAATGTGTTTTTCAGCCTTTGAAAGAATGATGTAATTTACTCCAGTACTGATAGAACCGCATATAAGGAGATGCTAAGAAATCCAAAAAATGTATACATTTCATTCTTTTGGGAAAATCACTTAACCTGAAGGGGCCTCATTTTTACACTTGTAAAATGAAACACTTAACCTAAGTGGTCCGTTTGACCTTTAAGATTATTGGCACAAGTATAATTTAAGTATTTCTCTCACTTGCTTTTATTTTGTTGTCTTTCCTAAAGCTTTGTTAGTGCAGGTATTCCACATTGCTGAGTTTATCATTTACCTTAAAATTCCTGTTACTACACCTATGATTCAATTCAATTTTTTATTTTAACAATATGTAGTTTGCAAGAGCACATTTTTAAAAATTGCTGTTGGCGGAGTGAAAAGTACATAGGATTTTAAATATCCTTTGGAAATATATCCTCTTTTCTTTAAAATTAAAGACGCTATTAATTGTCATTAGCATAATTTTAAAAGTTCAGTGCGATAAATGGTCTGCTCACTTGAGGTTTCACAGGTTTCAAAAGAAATTGAATTCTTAATTGTAAGCAAGTGGTTATATTTGAACTAACTCAGGAAAATAGGTTGAAAAAAAGAAGATGGTCATCATTCCTTCAAAAAATTTAATGCATGAAACTATATTTCACTTGGGAGTATGTACAAATAAAATCTGATATTAAATATCAAAGGATAGTTTCAGAATCATAGACTATTTGAAATAGAAATAGTCTTAGAGATTACTTAGCTAGATTCTTCATTCTACAGCAGTAGTGACTGGCTCGGGGAAGGGAGGAAATTAACCTAAGGTCAAATAGTGACATGTTGGCAGAGCAAGTACCAGAACTCAGGTTTATTCATCGTGGTTCTCGGGCTTCCCCCAGCACCCCACAGTATTTCTCAGCTATGTAAATATAAGGAAATGGAATGTTTTACATAAATGGCTGCATGTGTATTCTGAGGTCAGTTATATTCTCTGATTTTACAGGGTAAGAAAGGAGGTGACATTTAGAATACATTCTCAGAAACCTTTATCGGTTCTGTTTCTCAGCCAACGTAACAGAGATAAAAAATAGTTTAAACTATGAAAATTCTAACCAATGGATAATTATTTCTTGATAGTTCTTTAGTCTTTTCTAAACAGTTAAGGGTAGATATTAACTGTCGCGATTCACCATTTTATCCTCAGGGTGTGCTGCTGGTACATAAGCAGATTCTTATGATTATTTTAAATGAACAATAATCTAGAGAAGATTAGAGAAAAACTCTAAGGAAGTAAGTTTTGTCCATAGTGAAGAAAATAATTAGTAAAGTTATATATAGGAGTATATTTGTTTTTAGCCCTAATAAACCCACACTTTTAAAAAAATTATTTGGTTATCAGAGAAATATAAGGCAAATAGCCAAACAGCCAAGCTAAACCGTGTTAGAAAGCCATCTATGGTATCCGGAAGGAATAGTTTTGTACTGCGACTTATCTTTAGATTATGTCTGGACTTTTAAGTAAGAATTTTTACTGCCTTGCTTGAATAACAGTTTGTTATAAGATATTTTAAGTCTTTTGAAATGGTTTCAAACACACTAAGTAAAGAGTAACTTTCATTCTGCTGTTGTTTTTGTGCTGTCGAGGACTTGGGATGCATGACAAAGATTTGTGTTGCAGGAGGTAAGGTGGCCAAGCGCTGTGAGCATGCGTGAATACAGATTGCTCTGAGACGTTCCTGTCCACCGTGATCCTAATGAAGAGAAGAAGTATACTCTTGTGTCCGCTCTTCCTTCTCTTTTCAAATGCATTTTTCATGATAAAGACCAAATCAAGATACTGGTTGCTTTTATAGACGTTTATTTTAATGAGCTCTGGGCATGTATGTTCGACCATCAAATTAGAGATAATTATTTATTATTTAAAAAATAGAATTAGTGTTAACTTCAGTGAAAGGGATTTTCCTTTTTAAGTTTATTACAAATGAACACAGGAGAACTGGGCACAGTGGCTCACACCTGTTCTTTGGGAGGCTGAGGTAGGAGGATTGCTTGAGGCCAGGAATTTAAGACCAGCCTGGGCGACATAGCGAGACCCCATCTTTACAAAAAAGTTTGTCAAGTTAGCCAAGTGTAGTGGTGCATGCCCATAGTCCCAGCTACCCAGGAGGCTGAGATGGGAGCTCAGGAGGTTGAAGCTACAGTGAGCTATGATTGCACCACGGCATTCCAGCTTGGGGTACCGAGGGCGACCCTGTCTCTAAAAAGCAAAAGCAAAAACAAACAAAAGAGAAAATAACAAACACAGGAACACATAAGCTAGTTTTATTAGTTATTAAGGGCAGTGTGGATAACCCTGGAAACAGTTATAAAAATGTATCATGTTATCATGGTGATATATTTTTCAAATCAAGATTAGCATGAGTCTTTGCTCATGTATGGCACATATAAAATATTAACACTTCAGTGGTGTTTAAGATGATGTGAACTATCATTTCCTAGGCTATCCATCACATTTGTCAAAAAAAAGGAAAATTATAGAATGATCAACATGGTTTACTTTTTATGCTTAGCAGAGTTACCATATGTAAGATACAGAGTAAAACCTCCTTGGGAAGTTATTCCTCATTTTTTTCTCACATGAAATGACTCAAAGCTTGAGACCCTTTCATGTATCCTCAATTTGTTTTAAATTTTCTTTTTAAGATATACTACCAGTTAATTCCTGAAAGTCATTTGGTATGGTTTTACAAATACAATCAAATGTTTAAAATTTTACATTTTAAAAACACATTGGTCTTACGTAAATTCTTTTTTCCTTAGCAAGCAGAGATGAACTCCAGTCCAGAAAAGTTAAATTAGACTATGAAGAAGTTGGTGCATGTCAGAAAGAGGTCTTAATAACTTGGGATAAGAAGCTGTTAAACTGCAGAGCTAAAATCAGATGTGATATGGAAGATATTCATACTCTTCTTAAAGAAGGTATTTGGGATAATCTCAATAATTTTTGTTTTTTAAAGGAAAACCTGCGGGATTTTTTTTTGTTTGTTTGATTTGTGGAGCTCAGATGTAATTTTGCCCTTGTGTTTTGCTTAGTAAAAAAAAAAGAAGTAATTTGTTTCTTCTTGTAGTTTAGTAACTGTCTCTGAGGAGGTAGCACAAACCTATTTTCAGCTTGGTGGTGGTGTTTACCAAGAAAGAAAGGCATGCATTGATACAAATCTTTGATCACTGCCATAAAATTATTAATAATTCAGTCTTCCAAACTTGGCTCATTTTCATCATTTGGTCAGAAGTATTCATTTACATATATGTGTATATTTACATGAATGTGTATATATACCTGTATGTATTTATGTAGAGAGAGACTTATATTCTGGCTAAGTAATCAACCACTTTTCTTTCATCCATTCATTTCTTCACTAATTTTGGAGAAGTTGCTTTTATTTAGCCATTATATTGCATTTATTCTTTTATTGCTGCTATGCCATATAAGATGCCTGATATTTAAGAATTCTAAATTTAAAAATAAAATGAATAAGTCAACTTTTAGTTGCAGTTTCTGTGACTCACATTAAATATGTTAAAATTAGAATCTCCATAGCCTACATAAACTGTGGATGTAAAATAAAAATTCCAAAATACCCAAAGAAATTCTATCATGAATGTTGTTTTAAAAGCCTATGCCAATGTGTGAGACTGTTGAACCGCAGTTAAGTTTAAATTAAGATAAGAGTTATTTTGAAAGCTGCTTCGTTGACAAACTTAATATAGTGTTCTTTATCCTTAGAGATATGGAAATCCTAAAGATTTTTATTGAATGCTTTATTTGGGAGACACAATAATGGTTAACAGAATGTCTGTGAGATGTGGATTTTTTGAAATGATTTTCAAAGGTATTTTAGGAGTGCTTATCTTCCCATTTCTTATTGGATACAGTTTAAACTTCTTGGCCCTGTGCCCAAGGCCTTTGTATTAGTCCATTTTTAATCTGCTGATAAAGACATACCCGATACTGAGTAGTTTCTAAAGAAAAAGAGGTTTAATGGACTCACAGTTCCACGTGGCTGGGGAGGCCTCACAATCATGGTGGAAGGTGAAAGGCATGTCTTACGTGGAGGCAGACAAGAGAGAAAATGAGAACCTAGTGAAAGGGGTTTCTCCTTAACAAACCATCAAATTTCATGAGACTCACTACCACAAAAACAGTATGGGGGAAACTGCCCCCATGATTCAATTATGTCCTACCAGGTCCTTCTTACTACATGTGGGAATTATGGGAGCTACAATTCAAGATGAGATTTGGGTGGGGACACAGCCAAATCATATCATTCTTCTATAATCTCTCCTTCCTCCTTTCTGATCTAATTTTTTTATCTCTCCTTACCTTGTATTGTATCCTCTGGAGACACTGAACTGTTATACTTTGAGCACTGATATGTCCTTTGCGATTTCTTGCATGGAATGTTCCAGTCCTCCCTACTCTCCTTCTTCCTTACTTCTCTACATTCTCATTTCCCATCTCCCTTTCTTTCCACCCCATCCTCTTCTCACTCCTCTTTCCTCCGCCCTTTCCTCTGGTCCTCTCCTGGAGTGCCTGCTGCCTGCACTTTAAGCCCAGAGCATCCTATTATCCCTCAGGTCCCTCAAATATTATTTCCTCAGAGCACCACCCCTGACCCCCCAAAAAATCAATTCATTGTACTTTATCATTATTTTTCATGATTAATTATACTTAATCATAATTTATAGTTTAATAATCATGTATGTATTTGTTTAATGTTTTTCTTACCCCACCACTGCACACCTAGCACCTAAGAAAGTATCTTGCACTTGTCACTGAATGAATGAATGGATGAATGAATGAATGAATGAGATGATTTTCCTGAGAATGGATTTATTCATCACTCAATGATGAGGCGTCCTGACTGCCTTGCTTTATTCTCTGCTACATACTGGATGCTCAATAAATGTATGTTTGATTGGAATGATGTTGCTTTTTGTACATTTATTATTGGATGGATAATAAAACTGCCCACTCATGTTATCAGTGATTCATTTAGTGGGCTGATAGTTACCTTCTAAAAATGACATTTTCTATGCTGTCATTCATTCCTTCAACAAATGCATAAGCAGCAAGGGATATTGTTGGATTTTATCATACAGAGATGAAAATATGCTTGCTGTTCTCAAGGACCATTTAAGTAGGGAAAAGAGACAAAACTTCAATGTAGAGCTAACTGCAATCTAATAAGGTAATGTTACAGTATGAGTCAAATAGTATGTGAAAAGGGACTGATTACATCTGGAGATGTTAGGGAGAGCTTCAACAGAAAAGGTGGCACTCAAGCTCTTTCATGAAAGATGACGAGACGTACAATGGGTAATCAAGTGAGGGAGCTTGGAATTCCCTAAAGGCAACAGTAGGTGCTAAAAACTGGAGAAGTGGAAATGACCACAAGCGTCTAGTATACATCAGGGACTGGGAAGTAATGGCGCTTAGAAAGGTAGTTTGGAGCTATATTGTAGAGGCCTCATAAATCATGCCAACGAGCCTCAGTTTCACCTATCGGACAATAATACTTTCAGCTTGTACAAACTCTGGCATTCATTCAGAAGAGATTACTGCCATTAAGCCTTTCCTTAACTAGCTGGAGCAAAGGAACCCATTGCAGATTCAATCTTTCCAAACTGAAAACTCCTAGTGAGTGAAATAAAGTTGCCTGCACTGTGCAGAGTTGAATTCTGTCCCTCCTAGTGCTTACTTCATTTCCCTTGGCATAAAAAACATAGTCATAGTGTCCTGAAACTGCTTGGGATACATTTTGGTGTTGAAGCATAATAGAGTTAATGTTTTATTATATGTGCTAAGCATTTTCTTCTCAAAGCCCGAATGTTGTTCTGGAGCATGTCAGTTACACCTTCTTATTGTGTACTACTTTTATTATTTCTTTTTTTTTTTTAGACAGAGTCTCACTCTGTCTCCCAGGCTGGAGTGCAGTGGTGCGATCTCAGCTCACTGCAACCTCCGTCCCCCAGGTTCAAGCCATTCTCCTACCTCAGCCTCGCGAGTAGCTGGGATTACAGGTGCATGCCACCACACTCGCTAATTTTTGTATTTTTAGTAGAGGCAGGGTTTCGCTATGTTGGCCAGGCCAGTAACAAACTCCTTACCTCAAGTGACCCGCCTGCCTGGGCCTCCCAAAGTATTGGGATTACAGGTGCAAGCCACCATGCCTGGCCTATTCTTTCATTTTTAATGCCCATATAAGAATGCTATTTGATTCTCTATTATAAAGTTACTTGCTGATGACAAATATTTAGAGTTGTAAATTAGGATTAACATTTGTTGCTATCCTCAAGCCAAATAAAGAGTGAAAATAGGCAGCAATACACTTTGGGATACACTTTAGGATACTTTTGGGAATACATGCCTCTGAAACCAGACTTTTGGAGTGCTAATTCTAAACTGCCACTTCCTAGCCATGTGAACTTGGGGCAATTACTTCATCTCTGCCTCAGCTTTCTGTCTATAAAGTGGGCCTAATAGTAATTGCCTACCTTACAGTTGAGTTGTTTTCTGAGTGCATGTGCTCTGTAGCTAGGCACCCTCAATAAATGTTTGATTAATGCCCAGTCAGCGATGGGTGACGTTGTTGTTAATGTCGTTATTGTTAAGTGTTGTGTGAGGGTTTTCTTTTGCAAGACATCGGGAGCTATAGGATTAAGCTTGTCAAAATACACTCCTGTCAATCGTATTGCGTGGTCTTAGGGTGGCGTGCAGTACACACAGCTGCCTGTTTACCAGAATTACATAGTGAAGCAACTGGGACAGCTGGGATCTAACAACTTCATTCCGGAGCTCAAGGCCTTGGTTATTTATCTCCTTGATTGTAGGAGTTCCCAAAAGTCGACGAGGAGAAATTTGGCAGTTCCTGGCTTTACAGTACCGCCTCAGACACAGATTGCCTAATAAACAACAGCCTCCTGATATATCCTATAAGGAACTTTTGAAGCAGCTCACTGCTCAGCAGCATGCGATTCTCGTGGATTTAGGTATGTTTGGCCTGCGGATTATAATTTACAAAAGTAAAGAGCTGATCCTTCTGTTGAGTTGTTTTGGTTTTTGTTTGTTCTTGGGGCTGATAAAGAGCACCTGTTGGCATATGCAGAGCCATTGACTTTGTCCTTTACTGAGGGCAGGTTGGCCGTATTCCTGATTGATGATCCAATAAACGCCTGCGTATTAAATGAAGTTTTCACCCCAAAACTTTGCCTCTGCAAAAGGAGCCATCTTATATTTAAATTATTATAAAGGTCATATTATGGGGTGCTCTCAGTTACTGCATTTTGAACAACTGACTTTTTAGGGCAGATAGTTGTATTTTAATCAATGCTGGTTTTGAAACGGCTTAGAATAGGTTAAAAATTTAACAAAGGTATACTAGGTATTCCTGGACACATTGCTGAAAATAATCCTTTATATATCACTTTTAAAAGCAACATGATAAATGGTTATGTTGGTGGAAATTATGACTATACACCTATAGGGTGAGTGAAACATTAGTTGGGCTAATAGGGTAGGAGTAGGTACTCATGGCCTGAGGGAGAATTTCCAGTGACAGAACCATAAAGCAGTCTTTTTTATTTATTTATTTATTTTGAAATGGAGTCTCCCTCGTCAACCAGGCTGGAGTGCAGTGACGCTATCTCGACTCACTGCAAGCTCCGCCTCCCAGGTTCATGCCATTCTCTTGCTTCAGCCTCCCGAGTAGTTGGGACTACAGGTGCCCACAACCACGCCCGGCTAATTTTTGTATTTTTAGTAGAGACGGGGTTTCACCGTGTTAGCCAGGATGGTCTCAATTTCCTGACCTCGTGATCCGTCCGCCTCAGCCTCCCAAAGTGCTGTGATTACAGGCGTGAGCCACCGCGCCCAGCCAGCAGTCTCCTTAAATGCTGATTTTCATATAACTTGTGGAAATAAAAATGCTTTGATTTTTAGAAGTTATATTGTGTCTAATTTTTCTCTAATATACTTTATTATTTAAAAATGTCTACATTATTAGATTAAATATTATACATTCGCATTTGACCACTTTATTTGTACTCCTAAAAGTTGATATATGTCAGGTGGCCAGATATGTTATTTGGGCCCATTTGGGAAAATACAAGATTACCTTATGTTTGGGGTCATCTTATATTAGGGCATATGAAAAATCATTAACCAAACCCTAGTTTTTAACCTCTATTCCTTTTGGATGACAAATAGCTTTTGTTGGGAAAGGACCCAGCTCAGTTAATTATTTTTTTGAGCCCAGCAGAGTTAAAAAGGGGTTTTACAGAGAAACTGAAAATGAGTTTTTGTGCTGATTGTGCCACTAATTGTGGTCTTAGACATATTACCTTGCTTCTGAGTGTCAGTCCTCTCTACTAAGTGGGGGCATTGAACAAGGCAGTCCCTGTGTTCCCAAGCAAATCTGTGGTTCTCTGACCACAAATTGGTGATACAATCAGGGGTAGTCATGATGTCCTATTAAGGAGAGAGAATGAGATCATATTACAGTCAGACAAAAATGGAGCTAGAATCAAGTTAATGGATAGAAAGTGCATTTATAGTTTTCCTTAGTAAAAAATTTAAGTGAGAAAATGAAACCATCATTTAAAAAATTGCTTATTTGGCTCTACTTGTAGCCATCTGTGTTTCTTCAGCATGCAATTGTTATTTTCTCATATCTTCCTCTTACTGGCTCTGCAGAATTAATCTTATTGGTTCCTGGAAAAAAAAATCATTTTTAAGCATATGTGGGAGAAAACATTTTAAAACCTGGCCCTCTAGGAAGTTCTAACTGACATGAGTAATCGTTTCACCGGGACGCTAACATCTCCCTTCATTTTTGTGGCACTAGGAAAGTCCCATACTGGTATACACAGCTGTGATGTGAAGATGGGTTTGTTTCTGGGTATAGAACTCTCCTTTTAGTGATACAGGACTCACATTGCCAGCTCAAGTGTCTCGGTGGTAATTTTATACCTAGAGGTAAATTTTAGAGGGGTATTTATTTGAAATTGACTTGACTTGACCCTTTATTTTCCTTGATATTTTTAGATGTTGAAAAAGGAAAGTGGTTTGCATGGCTCATGGAGGTATTTTAAGAGCAAAGAGCAAAATATAGTTGAAAAAGAAGTTTTTTTCTGAATGATAGTCTGAATGTAAAGCCAAACAAACCCAAAAAGTCCCTCCAGTGTCATATTATAAGAAAAGCAGAAATAAATCTGTTTATAGACTATGAAGATTTTCTTTTAAATCATATAGTATCTCTTATAGACTTCTGGTTTCATTTAGAAGGTAATCGTTATATGAATTAGAATTTGCCTTGCTTTATATAGTCAGAATAAATTTTACATTCCGTTTTCCTGGTATCTCTCCTGGGTATGTCATCAGTTTGTGGATTTTTATTTTATTTTATTTTATTTTATTTATTTATTTATTTTTTTGCTAGAAAGAAGTACTGGTTAGCATTAAATGTTTCCTCCCATATCATACATGTGAAGATGGTATGGTAGCCTCGCAGGACTTGGGATGAAAGAGAGAGAGACTCTTAGTTACATGGTGACTCCAAGCAACTCTCACTGGTTTGGGAAAGAGTGTTTATTTATTCTTGGAGGTCACTGAATTGCAATTTCACTATGGTCTCCAAGGCATGAGGACATTTCAAAAAATATTTTTCTTCTTTTCATCTGCAGGAAGGACGTTTCCTACTCACCCTTACTTTTCAGTACAGCTTGGGCCAGGGCAACTGTCACTGTTTAACCTCCTGAAAGCCTATTCTTTGCTGGACAAAGAAGTGGGATACTGTCAGGGAATCAGCTTTGTGGCTGGAGTCCTGCTTCTGCACATGAGTGAAGAGCAAGCCTTTGAAATGCTGAAATTCCTCATGTATGACCTTGGCTTCCGCAAGCAGTACAGACCTGACATGATGTCGCTGCAGGTGAGGCACTTGTGCTTCCCAAGGAAGGTATTAGACTATTACCAGAAATCCTGACCCTCTTCTCAGTTATTACAGTTAGGTTTAAAGAAATGGAGAGCCATTGTCTTAGAACTCGGATGAACACTGGGACATGTTTTAGTTCACTTGGTGTGGGATTTGCTATTTAGGTAAACTTCTAAGTGTATGAGACCCATAGGCAGGATACCTTTTCCATAAACTTCCTAAAGTGAGTAAATAAGTAGTTTAAGAAAGGTAGGTGATGAGGACCCAATCCTTTATGCCCTAAGTCTATGGGTTACGTGGAGAAGGTATCAAGTCATCTTTATTCACTTTTCCTCAACTTCTCAATGTAAAAGGCTCACAGATCTTTTGTTTACAATCTGAAAGTGTCTTTATCCCTTTACTTTTGAGTGCATAAATAGCAGATACCATCTTATGGTTCTTTTTGAACTTATCATATCTCCCCTCCTTTATCTTCATGTAAGATAAGCCTTCACAGAGGAAAAAGTGTGAAAGCCAGTGGTGCCTTTTCAGTCTGCTTGTGTGTGTGTGTGTGTGTGTGTGTCTGTGATGGTGTCTTGCTTTGTCACCCAGGCTGGAGTGCAGTGGCATGATCTCAGCTCACTGCAATCTCCGCCTCCCGGGCTCAAGCAATTCTCCTGCCTCAGCCTCCCCAGTAGCTGGGATTACAGGCAGGTGGCACCATGCGTGGCTAACTTTTTTGTATTTCTAGTAGAGATGGGGTTTCACCGTGTTGGCCAGGCTGGTCTTGAACTCCTGACCTCAGGTGATCCGCCCACCTCAGCCTTCCAGAATGCTGGGATTACAGGTGTGAGTCACTGAGTCTGCTTTTCTTAGCAGGCTCTGAAGAATCACCATTACGATTTTTCAAGTATTTTGAGTGGGGTATTGACTGCCACTGCTGTCTTTAGCCTACCTCAGACTCCTTGTTTACACATTTCTTTCCTAGTTTATCACTTCTCTAAGTGGATTGGTTGCTAATAAGCAGTTTAAATTTTGTCTATAGATACTTATCTCAAACAACCACTGCCTGGCAATTTAAAGCTTTCAGTGGTTAAAAATATAAAAGAAGACTTTAAAGAGGAGTCTCAGGTTTTTCCTCCCTTGAAATGAGGTATGCACGACTCCCAGTTCATCGTAATACTATGCTTTAGATAAGAAGTAGTACTTTAAAGATGCTTTTAAAATATACTATTTTTCCTGGTTCCCGGAGATGAGATTTTGCCTTTAATAGCTCAGTTGCCAATCTATAACAAAAGAATTGTGTTTTTACTCTGAGCATTATAGTAAATTATATTTTTTGAGAGTGAATGGAGATGAAGTATTCCATTTTTCTTCCTTTCCCAAGGTAAAATTTTGGCTGCGGATATAGGGCTTTGCTATCACCATTAGGTTTTCTGGTGTGAGTTCATATGATTTGATTCCTCACTGATGACTATTCATAGGTTTAACAAATCAAATGACAACTGTGGAAAGTTTTATTTTTTATTCCTAAACAGTTTACCTGTATCTTTTTATCTTTTTTTTTTTTTTTGAGATGAACTCTTACTCTGTCAACCAGGCTGGAGTGCAGTGGCGCGATCTTGGCTCACTGCAATCTCTGCCTCCCGGGTTCAAGCGATTCTCGTGCCTCAGCCTCCCGAGTAGCTGGGATTACAGGCATGTGCCACCACACCCTGCTAACTTTTTGGTATTTTTAGTAGAGATGGAGTTTCACCGTGTTAGGCAGGCTGGTCTCGAATTTCTGGACCTGAAGTGATCCATCCGCCTTGGCCTCCCAAAGTGCTGGGATTACAGGCATGAGCCACCGTGCCTGACCACCTGTATCTTAATATCAGATAGGAATCAGATGCTCTTGTAAGGAATTCAATAATTCTGATTTTCAGAAACAACAGTTTGGTAGCTATTATTAGAATTTCAAAGATAGAGGGAAGTACCTGTGAGTAGTGTTTGATCTGGATCCACAGATAAAAAGATATAGCTATCAGTTTAAAAATACAATGATATTTCAATTTACAAATTCTTCATCAATTTCACATTACAAAAATTCATGTAAATTGGATTTATACATTCATTTAATATGCCCTATAAGTACCAAGAAATATTTTATGTCTATAATTTTGAAAATGCAGACATTTAAAAATCTTTGATGACAGCATTGCTGTAGGTCACAGTATTGGGGACCTTATTCTGGGAGAATAGATCCTTTTGCATTTGAAAGTGGAATATCACACTTTCTCACTTTCTAGAGCAGGAGGTACTGTTTTGGGTCTAGCCAATAGGACGTTTAGAAGTGTGCTTGAATACCTCTTGCAGTGGGTTTGAACTCACTCCACAGGATTTCTGATTTCTTGCTTCTCTCTTGGTGACTTGGGTGCTCCAGGCTTCAGTTACCTTATCTGTAAAATGTGGGGGTTGAGGTCTTTTTCAACTTTAAATACCTGTATCTCATCACGTTAGTTTCTGCTGCTTTCTGTGTTAAGCATAAAGGCATCATATCTTTTCCTCTGAAGTTTTTGGTCTCCACTTTTTTTCATCTTCTCTCTCCTAGCCTTCTCTCTCTCTCTGCATCTTTCCTTCTCCAGTTCACCTCTTTAATCTGAATGTTTGCCTTGGTATCTGTAAGGTGGAACTGAAGAATAATTTGTTCTTAGCAAATAGAATTTTGTCATTAAAGCTTTCTTTGAAGGAAGCCTGAATCGTGTTCTTATTTGCCCACATATCCCTTGATGGAAGAAACTCTCTTGACCCCCAGTTGAGAATGTACGATGGGGTAGGTGGGAAATAAGATTCTCTTAAAAAAATTAAATGTTGAAGTATTGCTTCTTTTTATAATCACAAGTGAATGAGAACAGTGAGCTTTTGATGATGTGCTTTCTTTTTATGCTGCTAATTAGACTTTTTTGATTTTTGTGCTTACCAAAATACTAATTCTGTTGTTGATAGGTGCTCAAAATTTCTGGTTTCTATGATGCAAATGGTCTAAAGGAAATGTATGGTTTTTTTTTTCAACATGACTTTTTGAGATAATCTCATTTAAAAAAGACTTTCTGTTTGACTCCAGCTAAGCTTCTTATTTTATAGCTATGACTGCCTCTGGCTCTTTAATTCCCTTTTATTTACAGTTTGTGTGGAAACTGAGTTTCCAAAGATATTTGTTGTAGAGAAGGATGGAACAATTTTTTGTATTTATGCATAGTTTTTGATATTTTTCCAAAGGAGTCTGTTGATTTTTAGTTCTGTACTCTAGAAATAATTGTTGAATTCACAACATAATTGGTTATTTTTATGTATTGTCATAGAGCTATTTAAGAGTGATGTTTTAATAATTTCTTTTAGTGAAAGAAGTTCTACTAGATTTAATAAAACATTTTATACATTTTTACCCCAAAATATCAAGCCAATATAACTGATCAGGGAACCACCACTTATCTGTTAACTATGTGGATAAAAGTTTAAATTAAAACACAATTCCCAAATTTCTTTGTTACTTACTCCTGCTTTTATCTTTAGTATCACAGATATGAATTTAAAAGTTTCTGTGTGCTGTTTTTATGGTGTTTTCTGAAATACCAGTAACCAACTCAATAGCCAAATGAAATAATTTTGTCTTTTAGTTCTAGAAACATTCAGAAACAACTGCACTTTTTGCCTTAATCCCATTTGTCATGAAAAATATGCTGCTGGAATAACTTGAATATTAGAAATAGATCTCAAGCTTCTGGCCCTGTAACATTCTAAGCTTTAATTCTATCCTAGCAGTGCAGATTGTCTGGAGAGCCAGAACTCTCTCATAAATCACATGCTGGTCACAGTAAATAGAAGTAAGCTTCTGCACTGAACATGGTAGATTCTTTAGAACGGAGGCTTTTCTGGAATTAGTCTGAAATTAGGAGGGATCTTCTATGAGGTTCGTGAGCCAGGACAGTTCTCATTAAATTCCAAAAGCAATGCCTCCCTACAGAAGAAAAAATTCCATTTCTATATATATATGTGGTACTCAAACACACGTGACAGAGAAACTTGCTCAGTCTTCTTAGATAGACTTTCAGTAACTTGCTTTATGGCTTCAGTTAAGTGAACTTGGATTTTAGTATCAACTTTAAAATCACAAAAATGAAGTAATACTGCTTATACTTATATATGTGAATTTGTTGTTAAATAGTAGAATAAAATTAAAATCAGTGTATTTGATGCACATGCAGATACATGCATAATATTTTATTTTTTCTTCTCCAAATTAACTTTAGATTCAAATGTACCAGCTGTCCAGGCTCCTTCATGACTATCACAGAGATCTCTACAATCACCTTGAAGAAAATGAAATCAGCCCCAGTCTTTATGCTGCCCCCTGGTTCCTCACATTGTTTGCCTCTCAATTTTCATTAGGATTTGTAGCCAGAGTTTTTGGTAAGAGATGCCTGTAATTAAATGAAACAGTATTATTTATTCCAAGGACTATACTTCTACTTCTAGCCATATAATGCCCTAATTGTTTTATCACGTGTTACACAGAATAGCAAATTGCTAATGGAATTTAATAAATGTGCCTGGCTCTATTCTGACAGTAACTTAAAACCATATTTGTCTTACATAAAATTGAAATTAAAAGGGAAAGAGGAATTGGGCTCCTGTATTTGAGTAAGCTGTAATGGAGCTCTTATTTTCATTTGTACCTAAAAATCAGAGCGTATACTCCTGAAATCTGGACTAGAGACAGACTGTATAATTTTCCAGATTTTTATATACATCTTTCTACCCCCCACTGTCTTCTTCATCTTGCATTCAGAACACAGAGAAACATGTTCTTAACTTGTATCAATGTTGTTTCTAATGGCATTTCTTAATCTGACTTTTTGTTGTTAACAGAATAACTTTACTTCCTGTTTCATTGCTCATGTGACTCTTCTTTCATGCCAATGCAGTTATGGTGGGACAGTCTGTAAGACTGATGGCTCAGGGAAAACACTAAGTACAGTCAGTAGAGCCCAGGGCAAGTTACTGAGTAACTGCCTTGCTCTAATCACAGTGTTTGGCATTGAGAATAAAAAGAGAGTGTAACTTGGTTTATGTCCCCTTTGGAGGCCTTTATATCTATTCACAAGTCTTTATACTTGTCTAAGTATGTTATTTGAAAAGCAAAAATTAAAACAACAACAACAACCAACTCTTCATCAGAGGTTTGTTCTAACGATGTGTAGGACCTCAGTTATCTTAAAAAGGACTTCCTTAATTTTTATGTTCTGATCATCTATTTAGCAGACATGGGCAAAGCAGTCAGTATTCACTCACAGCTGCACTTCTGTTAAATTGGAGCTGTTTGTCAAATTGTATTGGCGCAGTTGTAGGTCATTGTCAGTGTTTGAGAAAATGAAACAGCATTCAGTGAAGATATTAGGGAATATTACAAATAGTAAGGAAATATGTTGTTTGGAGAAATTTGTTTTGAGGATATATGTATAATATGTATATATACCAGATTACAACATATGATATATTTCTTATTGAGGACTGTGGTGGTTTAAAAGTTAAACACTGCATTAGTGTTACTACAATTTATAAAATACAACAAAAGAGTAAAGTTAAAATGTGCTGAATCAAATGTTCATCAGATTTCTCTTGTTTATCGAATATACACTATTGCTTTTCTACAGTGACATTTTCTCTGGAGCTTGGGTTCCTATTAATGGGTCTTCTGTAAATCCTTTTGTTTATATATGTTTTTCTTCCCAAAGAATAATCTATCATATCAAAATGATGTTTCAGGGCACCTCTCTTTGACTTACCCTTGGAAGCTTGATGTCAAGAGTTCAAGAAACAAATGTCATCAGTATCAGTTTTTTGTTATGAGAATACAAATGATGCTGTTGGCTATACAACAGCTGTTCAACTCTCTTCTTTGAATTTATAAAAGAATAGAGCTGGCAGGAAAGGGAAAGATGTATGAGCAAGAAGAACTATGTTTGAAATAATGATTCTATGGTTCCATCTTCATTAAAGACTCTCTGTTGTATATTATTTATTAAAGAATGACATAGACTGAGAGAAACTTTCATACAAAAGTACTAAGTACTTGATACTTTTCTTTCTTTCTTTTTTTATTTTTCTGAGACTGAGTCTTGCTCTATTGCCCAGGCTGGAGTACAGGGCACAATATCAGTTTACTGCAACCTCTGCCTCCTGGGTCCAAGCGATTCTCCTGCCTCAGCCTCCCAAGTAGCTAAGACTACAGGCATGTGCCACCACACTCAGCTAATTGTTGTATTTTTCTTAGAGACAGGATTTCACCGTGTTGACCAGGCAGGTCTCGAACTGCTAGCCTCAAGCCATCCACTCGCCTCAGCCTTCCAAAGTGTTGGGATTACAGATGTGAGCCAACACGCCCGGCCTAGTACTTGATACTTTTCAAAATTATTGCCTGTTTGTATTTGTAGGGAAGCAGGGCTTAGAGTTAGGGTAGGTCTTATATTTCTCTCCTCATTGAGGTTGTATGTTTGTCATTTGTTTTAATTTTTCTTTTAAGGTGTTCTTTTTTTTTTTTTTTTTAATTTCCTGGTGTGGCATAGATTTAATTACACAGGTGGTTCATTTACTTTTTATTATGGTAATGAGAGTTTGAATAGTACTCATTGGTTATGTTAATTTGTTTTTGTATTCCTGTTGTGAAGAAAAATCTATCAGTTGAATAACTGTCCTTGAGGTTTACCTAGTCTTCATTAAATTTGGCATTAAAAATTACAAATAGTTCATGGACAGAGATATACACTTTGTCCTTTTTTACCCTGGCTTTATCTGAGATTCTTAAGAGGACTATTAAAACATCTGCTTATATGTTTAGTTATATTACTTTTTAAAAAAAGCTAGATGCTTTTGACCAGTTTTCTTTTGCCGAACACGTAAAACAAGTAAATAAAAACCTTTAGCAGAAATAGCATGCTTTTTACAAGAGTGGATGCATAATTTTGATCATGAAAATTATATCTCTTCTTTTAGATATTATTTTTCTTCAGGGAACTGAAGTTATATTTAAGGTTGCACTCAGCCTACTGAGCAGCCAAGAGACACTTATAATGGAATGTGAGAGCTTTGAAAATATTGTTGAGTTTCTTAAAAGCACGCTACCTGATATGAATACCTCTGAAATGGAAAAAATTATTACCCAGGTATGATTTAAATGCTAATAGTATTATACAGCAGTTTTCTCTACTGAATATATATTAAATGGTTTAGCATACAAATGTAGCTTTGCTTGACAGGTATTTTCATCAGATACATTTTATTTAGAAAGGGGACTGTTGTGAAATTTCTACATTGTCTATCTGGCTATGCACAGAAAATGTGGTTCAGTGCTACGTAATGAGTTTTTCAGGAATCCTTTCCATTTAAACCAATGCTAAAACTGAAGACAGAACTGACAGAGTCAGGAAGGCCTGAGAGTAAAATCAGATCGTCTTGCCTTTGTTATCTTGTTAATTATTTTGTAAAATACATGAAGAGGACATGTGGCAAGAGTACAGGCTTTGGAATTAGAAGGTATTGGGCTTGCATCTACTTCTAGCTCTTTAATTGGTTGTTTGGCTTGCACACATCAGCCTAATCATCCAAACCCTAGTTGTCCAGAATGGTACAGTACTGGACAAGTTCCAGAATGGGATAATACTGATCTGAGAGGTTTTATGAGGCTTACATGAGAAGACTTGGTGTATCAGTCTTTGTCCCTCCAGGAAACATTCTGCCTCCAATGATTCAAATGAAGGAACCGTCTATACACGTGTGGGTAGGCCTAAGGGAATCCAACACAGATGTCCAGGTGCCCAGGAACTAGTAACATAGGGAAACTGTTCAAACCTCTGCTGCAGAGGGGCTAAGTGGAGGACGTAATAGTGTTACTAGGTCCAGGGAGAGCTGCAACTGTGGAGGAGGGTTCTGTGCTGGTTGTTGTGGTCTTGTTGAACTAGGCAGAGAAGGATCAGGGAAGAAATACCCAACCCTTTTCTCCTGCCCCATCTCGTCTTGTGCTGGCATCTTCTGTTTGCCAAACTGAACCAGAAGCCAGCCAGAAAGTAAGTGTGGGGAATTGTCTGCCTGCCAGGGTACAATAGAATGGATGAGTGCAGAGAATGGATCTGAGAAGCAAATTGAGAGTAATCTGCACACCGTACGTGTAGTCCGTGACTCTTCATAGGGACCAGGTGAGTGGTAGCTATATATTGCTGCTGCTCAGATGCAGTGGACAAGCTTAAGAGCAGATTGACAGATTTGACAGTTAAGCTTTATGAGCATTGATAAAGTTTACCACTTTCCTGAAGGCACTTTTGATGGCAGAAAGACAATAGGGTTTAGAGAAAGGGAGTTTGGAACCTTGTTCTGGTGCCCAGCCATTTACTAGCTGTGTGCCTATGGGCAAGTTACAACCTCTCTGAGTCTCAACCTCTTCCTCTACAAAATGGGAATAACAAAAGTAGATTCTATTATAGTTTTGTATTATTTTAGGAGGAAATATAACCAATGTTAAAGTATTTTGTACTCTGTAATTCATACTGTAATATGAACTCTTATTATATTAATACATATAAAATTTTATTTCCATTACATGGAATCTAAATCACAAATATCTATAAATAGTTTGTATTTGTTAAAATGCTCTGTAAGCTGAAAAGTATAGCTTTTATTTGTATAGTTACTGGTTTATTAATTTTTCAGAAATATCTTTCTTGACTGGAATCGGATATTATGCTTTTAGAGATTTGAAATCGGATATCACCTCCCTTCTAAAATTGATGAGGAAATTGCCTGGCTTTACAGCTTACTATTAGGATTAATGGGTAGAATTTATAGGCAGGTAAATTTGAACTTGATATTGGGAGAATTTCCTAACAATTAGAGTTGATTATTATGGAATGAAATGCTAACATTAAAGGAGACTTTGATGAACTTTATTTATGGACACTGGAAAAAAATGCAAATAATGCAGAAAATCACAAAGAAGGAAACAAAAGTAACTATAAATCTCAACATCTAGAGATAACCTTTGAAACTTTCTATTACATGTTTCTTTGCTTATATATACATATAAAAATGTATAAAGTTATACATAAATGAAATCATACTATATATACTATTGTGGAACCTGATTTATAATTAAAAATATATAGAGTATTAGATTTTTTTCCGGTAACTATAAATCCATATTATCATTTTAATGGTTGTGTAATAATCCATTGTATCCATACCCACTAAGTAAGGAAAAGATGATGGTTATTTGAGGATAACCAGTTAGTCTAGAAGTTCTCTTATTAAAATTTGAATGTTTGAGTCTCTCTAGTAGTAAGTAGTAGAGTAAGTCAGATTTTTTGTGGTTTCTTTTCTCTTCTCAATGTTAGTATAGAGACCATTGCTTGAATAGCAGCTGTAGTCTCTCCTTCCCCCTAGGAAGTTTGGAGTAACTGTCCTCTAGCTTCAAAGCAAATGACCTTCCTATTTAGTGGTGATATGGGAGAGCAGTAGCAGCCCTAATTAAACCTTACAGCCCTGGACAGTGGTCACAGTGTGCAATTTTGAGGATTCTCTGTGCGGTACAATATGTAAATGACTCTTTAAGAGGCTTACAGGGAATAGCTAAGGGATGAAAAGTTTTTTTAAGATCTTTCTGCTCCATTGGCAAATAAATTAGAAATGCTTTTGGTTGCTTTATTACAGTAATACCCTATGCAGTTTTGCTTACTAATCAGCAGAGATTATCTCTAACATAATAATTACTCAATAACTAATGTTGTTTATATAGTATACTACATTATGAATATCTTGGCTGCAAAATACACTTGGACATTAATTTATTCTAGTGATTTGGCTTCCCGAGAATGTTTCAATTGCGTAGAAATAATCTATGTGTTCTGTTTTTAAAGAAAAAATTTCTTCTTTCACAGAAAGAGCTATCTGTTTTTATGTTGACAGTGTAAGCTATATCTAATTTATTCTTGTATTGACAGTTACACTTTTTTTCCTTTTTTATGCTTTAATGTTATTCATTAATAAGTATTTGGAAATATACATGAAACATACCAAGATACACAAGCTGTATCTTGTTATACATACCAAAGGCTAGCCTAACCCATGATACTTTCATGGCAGGTTTTTGAGATGGATATTTCTAAGCAGTTGCATGCGTATGAGGTGGAATATCATGTGCTACAGGATGAGCTTCAGGAATCTTCATATGCCTGTGAGGATAGTGAACCTTTGGAGAAGCTGGAGAGGGCCAATAGCCAACTGAAAAGACAAAACATGGACCTCCTAGAAAAATTACAGGTAAGGAAATAAAGATTTGAGCAAAGAAGTACTTTAATGCCTCCTGCACGCACAGAACTACCTCAGGAATGGAAGGGATATGTGTGTGGAATGAACCATTGCTAAGCAAGAGCCCATGTATCAGACTGTCCAAATGCTCTGGGGCTACAAATGACATGTTAAATTTAACATTACTTGGAAAAAATGCACCCTCACAAAATAGCTAAATGGCAGTTCAAAGTGGAATCTGCTTAAATACCTGTTGCATGTTATAGATATTCGGTTAAGTCCAAGGGAGGAAGAATTGAATGTAGGAAATTGATGAAGTTGTGAAGGACCTGGGCTTGAGCTGAAATCTGGAGGGTTGGTGGAAGAAATGAGTGAGGAAGGTCTTTAAGTCAGGCTGGGTAGGAGGGTGGCATCAATAAGGAGGACATAGCAGAGCAGCAGAGTTAGCCTGGTGTCAATTTCAGATAGATGTTGGGGAGAGTTAGGGTAAATATGATAGAGGCAGAATTGTAAGTGACTTTCAGTGTCAAGCCAAAGAACCTGACTTTTAATCCTGTCGAGAGGGAAATCTCTCAAAGTTTTGGGGCCATGCTGTAGAAAGATCAATCTGGGAACCTTGATGAGGACAGATTGAGATGGGAGAGAAGGTAAGGAGGCCTGCTAGCAGTCACTTGTGAGAATCTATTGTGGATGATGAGAGTTGTCTAGACTAAAATGGAAATTGAAAAAGAGGGAGACATGTCTAGATAAATTGAATTACATGTAAATATTACATGTAATATTAATACATCATTCCTGCCATCAGGGAGTTCACAATTATTATTTGAGAATATGAAACACTATATATCTGTATCTAAGCACATACTTATACAGGCAATAAGCAATTTATTATATAGCAATATTCTGTATTTGCAACTTGTATATGTGTGCTGTGTAGTCATGCCCCGAGGGGAGGGGCTTGAGAATGATCATGGGAGGGAGGCTAGCAGGTGACCCTCCTGAAGTCTTCAGGGGAGATGACTTCAGGGGAGTTTCAGTGCCTAATGGCTGCTTGGTCTCCACTTACTCCTCCTCTCCATTTCCACAACACTCCATTTCCAGGCTACAGACTGGAAAACACTAAAACTCTGCTTCTATATGGTGGGTCCCCTGTCAAGACCAGTCGGAAGAGACAGGTTAGAAATGACGGGTCTCTAAAGTGGTTGCTTCCCAAGAATGGGGACACTAAACTTCTTTCACTTTGTCTTACATTGGCTCTGGCTCATAGAAAATTTAAATCTTTTTTCTATTCAAAAGAGGGCAACATAGTCTATTTTCAAAAAGAAAAATAAATGGTTGGTATACTGTCCATTTTTAGTTGGATATTTCAATGGCGATTGAGTATTTGCCCCTATTAGGGAAGGTGGGTTTGTACCTGTTTTATAATGATTCTTCTGAACTTATAGACTTTTTCACTGACAGTTCAGTGTAGTCATCATCAGTTACTCGACCACCCCTCACATCTATAAAAACTGATGAAAGTCCAAGTGTATGTTTAGAGAACTCCGTATTTCAGTCAGGGAAGGAAAATCTCTTTTAGCACTGCAAGATAGTGTCAGGAATCTCCTGTTTCCCCTTCAGCCAGGCCAGATCCCTCCCGCTCACTCAGGGGAACACCAGTGGGTGCAGAATAAGTTCTGCTACTGTTGTTGAGGGGGTGATTTAGTATTGAATTATTAGTGTATTCAGTGAGAGGAGATGAGTCATGATAGTTCCATAGTTAACATCTTTGTGAAACCTAATAAATCATCGTTTCATGTAGGTTTTCAGAGTATTTGTTTCACATAATATTTTATTAAGTAATTCGAAGTAATTGGTTAATATGGGTAAGGACTGGCTCCTGCTATAATGAATCATGACTTTAGCAAGACATTTGATTGCAAATCAAATTTTTGATTTGGAGGATTTTTTCCCCCCAAACAGGTAGCTCATGCTAAAATCCAGGCCTTGGAATCAAACCTAGAAAATATTTTGACAAGAGAGACCAAAATGAAGTCTTTAATCCGGACCCTGGAACAAGAAAAAATGGCTTATCAAAAGACAGTGGAGCAAATCCGGAAGCTGCTGCCTGCGGATGCTCTAGCCAATTGTGAACTGTTGCCAAGAGACTTAAGCTGCAACCCTAACAACAAAGCCAAGATAGGAAGTAAGCCATAATTGAAGAGGCGTGGCCTCAGTAGGAAGTGCTCCTTAGAATACTACAGAGAGGAAGAGCCTGCATGCCGCTGGCCCAAGGCTGGACCCTGAAGCTGATGGAACCACCTAATACTGGTGCTGAGCCCCTAGTCACAGCAGGTGGACCTCGTGCTCATCAGAGCGTGCCAATCCTAAGCCATCGGACATATGTAGATTGGTTTTTGTTGTTGCTATGTACATATAAATATATATATAAAATGAACATAGTTCATGCTTTCAGATAAAATGAGTAGATGTATATTTAATTTTTTTAGTCAGAACTTCATGAAATCCACACCAAAGGAAAGGTGAACTGAAATTTCCCTTGGACATATGTGAAATCTTTTTGTCTTTATAGTGAAACAAAGCCAGAGCATCTTTGTATATTGCAATATACTTGAAAAAAATGAATGTATTTTTTTCTCCAAAGAACAGCATGTTTCACTCAATGGTGAAAAGGTGGAAACATTTATGGACTTTATGTGTATCTGTCTTAATATCTACTGACATTGTCTATATGAGGAAAGTGACTGAATACTAGTCATGCTCCTATGAGTTTTTTGGGAAGGTAGGGGCATTTCTCCCTGCCTGCTTTGTGCCAACTAGCATGTTGCATCTACATGCATTGTGAGTCTGGTTAAGAATTACTATAAACATACATAAAGAGAAAGTAGGACATTGTGGCTGAGTGTACCCAGCTCAAGGTAAAGGAGAATGTCGCTAATTTTTTAGCGAACTAAATCAGCATTATTACTCAAACTAAAAATATCACACCTGAAAAATTTAATTTAGGACCTAAAATGTCTAGATTAACTTTCTGCCTTTTTAATTTAAATAACTCATTCAGTTGTGAATGAATTCCTCTTTATTTGGTGCCACAGTCACCAAATGACAAGGATTTGCCATTTTCCCACCAAATTGTGAGTGCTCATAATTTAGGTCTCTCTACCTTAAATTCAGTATAAGGAAATGTAATTATGATTGCTTTTTTCCCAAAGATGACAAGCTGTGTCGAAATACATTTTTTCTTTTGACCATTTGACAGACTCTAATAAGCTTTAATAATTTTCCCCTTTTATGTGAAAAGTTTTGAGAACTATGAAATATTTAGGAACAAACTGTTAAAATCCATTGGAAGGGAAAAGTGGTACCAGTGGTACCAGCTCAACTAAAACCTGCAGTTCTGCATTTCAACTCTTCACTTCCTCAGTCTACAAATAGCTTATTAGAGGACATTCACGCATGCTGGGTATAGGCAAGGAAAGTAATTTTCAAAGTACATTTGCAATTCTCTTTTTCAGAGATGATTCTAGGATAGTGCCTCTGAAAGTTGATGCAGCATTTTTGCCTTTCCAAAAAGTATTTATCGTCACTGCTTTTTGCAGTACTTGTATTTTCACAGATGGATTATCTGGGGTAATTTTCTTCAAAGGGAGTTTGTTATACACAGTGAAAATTTATTATAGAGTAGAATAGTAAAGCTCTAGAGGTTTCAGAAAGCTTTGGTGAACAGATGACAAACATCCGAAACCCCCTGTACACTGTTACCCAGTGTGAATATAATAACTTGTTATAGCTCAGTGTGCCCTTGAATCCAGACAGTTTCTTAAAAGACAATAAAATCTTATGAGTAAAGTTAATGTAACTTCTAAGTTCTAGAAAATGCTGATTCTGTCTACCCCATTCAATTGGGGGCTACTAATTGATTTGTTGCTTGGTTTTCCTGAGAATTTCTCTATTTGTAGGAGGGGTTTTTTCTTTTTACTGTCTGTTGATGGAAAATTATGGGTGTGATGCACAGATGGTAGCCAAGGAATCTGTTGGGAAAGTTTGGAAAGAAACCTTTTCTTTCTGTTATTCAGTTTAAAGTAAACTTTATCCTGGATGTTTATAATCAACATTAAGAGTTATATTACAGTGTTCAGAGATTAAGCTGACTTGGATTCAATATTTTCTTTTGAAAATGAATTTTCTTTTTCATTTGTGATTTTATAAAAATGTTGCACCAGTTATGCTTCATGCATTGTTACATCTTCATCAGGTTAATGTAATGTCTAGTTCCTTTGCAATAAATATATTACTGCAGCTTTCTTGACATATACTCTTTCTTTTCGGGAGAGAAGAAGCTCTTGGTTAGAGTCTTTTACTACAGGGGCCCCTGGGTACCTGTCCATGGCCTGTTATGAACCAGGCCACACAGCAGTGGTGGGCATGTGAGCAAGCATGACTGCCTGAGCTCTGACTCCTGTCAGATCAGCCATGACATTAGATTCTCATAGGAGCGCAAGCCCTATTGTGAACCTGTGCATGCAGGAGATCTACATTGTGTGTTCCTCAAGGGAATCAAATGTCTAATGATCTGTCACTGTCTCCCATCATCCCCAGATGGGATCATCTAGTTTCAGGAAAACAAGCTCAGGGTTCCCACTAATTCTATGTTATGGTGAGTATATAATAATAATATGGTGAGTATATAATAATTATAATAGAAATAAAGTGCACAATAAATGTGCTTGAATCATTTAGTCATCCTGAAACCATCCCCTGCCACCAGTCTGTGGAAAAATTTTCTTCTATGAAACCAGTCCCTGGTGTCAAAAAGGTTGAGGACCGCTGCTTTATAAGATCTGCATGGTAAAACCCCGTCTCTAGTAAAAATACAAAAATTAGCCAGGCATGGTGGTGTGCATCTGTAATTTCAGCTACTCAGAAGAGTAGGAGAGGCATGTATTGTTACTTATAGGAGGCCAAAGAATCGTCTGAACCTGAGAGGCGGAGCTTGCGGTGAGCCATCGCGCCACTGCACTCTAACCTGGGCCACAGAATGAGACTCTACCTTAAAAAAAAAAAAAAAAGATCTGCATGGTTTGGATTGTACCTACTTAAAATTGCTACGCAAATAATTCTTCGTAATAGAATCTGAGACAACAAAGATAATTCAAGAGACATTTATGTAAGTATATTGTTACCAGTTTTCAACTTACTTTCTCAATGGAGACTTTTGAAAGAAAATTATAAGCAACCACATTGACAGATTTGCATTCTATGCTTTTATTTTCCAGGCCCCCTCATAGATAGCAAGGGAGAGAAAGAGCCACAAGAAAATACAAAATTTTTCAATTGGATGCAGATAATTAAGAATTAAGGACACTTACTGATGGATGTGATATGAATGTTTTTACATAAAATATATATCCCTTGGAGTATTCTCATGTATATTTGTAATCCAATAAAAATACACTATATCTTCTTGCTAACTTTAGGACTAACACTTTTAACTATTTTTCACTTAATGTAGTAGTCAAGCATTTTGAGAATGAGGCACTGTAGTCTTAATATTACAGTCTCTTAATATCCATGTTGACTTTTGTTACTATTTCACCAATTCTTTTTTCACAGTACCAGATTAGGAATAAGAAATCTATCATCTGATGGCATGAAGTATTTAGTCCTTCTACCACAATGTGACACTCTCATTATATCACTCATTAGCTGTGATATAATGAGAAAAGCACTGGATTTAGAGTGAGAAGTTTTAGATCTATGTACTGGTTCCACCACTTTTATTTACTCATTCAACAAATAGTTTTTGTGAGCCTATTCCAGGCTAGCTGCCTGAAATTCAGGGGTGGAGAAGACATACTCCTTGTCCTCAAAGAGTTTGCATAGCCAAACAAGACTAAGCAAAAATAACAAATCTGGAGGCATCACATTACCTGACTTCAAACATAATACAAGGCTATAGTTACCAAAAAAGCATGGCACTGGTATAAAGATAGGCACATAGACAGTGGAACAGAATAGAGAACCCAGAAATAAAGCCAAATACACAAACGAATCTTCCACAAAGCAAACAAAAACATAAAGTAGGAAAAGGACACCCGTTCAACAAATGGTGCTGGGACAACTGGCAAACCACATAGAAAAGGATGAATCTCATCTCTCAACTTTTACAAAAATCAAGATTTAAATCTAAGACCTGAAGTCATAAAAATTGTAGAAGATAACATTAGAAAAACTCTTCTAGAAATTGGCTTAGGCAAAGACTTCATGATCAGAAACCCAAGAGCAAATGCAACAAAAACAAAGATGAATAGGTGGGAATTAAACTAAAAAGCTTCTGCACAGCAAAAGAAATAATCAGCAGAGTAAACAGACAACGCACAGAGTGGGAGAAAATGTTCACAATCTATACATCTGAGAAAGGACTAATATCCAGAATCCACAAGGAACTCAAATCAGCAAGAAAAAAAAATCACATCAAAAAGTAGGCTAAGGACATGAATAGACAATTCTCAGAAGAAGATACACAAGTGGTCAACAAACATGAAAAAAAAGTGCTCAACGTCACTAACAGGAAATGCCAATTAAAGCCGCAATGCGATACTGTCTTACTCCTACAAGAATGGCCATAATAAAAAAACTCAAAAAATAATAGACGTTGGCATGGATGTAGTGAAAAGGGAATACTTTTACACTGCTGGTGGGAATGTAAACTAGGACAACCTCTGGAAAATAGTGTGAAGATTTCTTAAAGAACTAACAGTAGATCTACCATTTGATCCAGCAAACTCACTACTGGATTTCTGCCCAGATGAAAAGAAGTCATATGTTGACTTACAAATATATATACACATACATATACACACACACACATACACATGCCTATATATACATACACATATATACGTACACATACATACATATATACATATATATACGTGTGTGTGTATATATGTTACATTTTCTTTATCCACTCACTAGTGGGCATTTGGGCTGATTCCATATTTTTGCAATTGCAAATTGTGCTGCTATAAACATGCATGTGCAAGTATCTTTTTTGTATCATGACTTCTTTTCCTCTGGGTAGATACCCAGGAGTGAGATTTCTAGATCAAATGGTAGATCTGTGTGTATGTGTATGTGTGTGTGTGCGTGTGTGTGTGTGTGTAGTATTCCATGTGTGTATATATACACACACACACACAGAATACTATACACATGCACACACACACACACACACATATGTATAAGAAATACTACTGAGCCATGAGAAAGTAATGAAATAATGGCATTTGCAGCAACCTGGAAGGAGTTGGAGATCATTATTCTAAGTGATGTAACTGAGGAATGGAAAACCAAACATCATATGTTCTCATTCATAAGCGGCAGCTAAGCTATGAGGATGCAAAGGCATAAGAATGATACAGTGGACTTTGGAGACTCAGGGAAAAGGGTGGGAGGGGGGTAAGGGATAAAAGATTACACATTGGGTGTAGTGTACACTGCTCGGGTGACAGGTGCAACAAAAGCTCAGAAATCACCACTAAAGAACTTATCCATGTAGCCAAAGACCACCTGTTCTCCAAAAACCTATTGAAATAAAAAATAATAAAAAAGAAAACAAGAGAGTTTATACATTAAAGTGGAAAAATAGATATGCAAAGTAGTACAAACAAGACTCATTTCACTCAGCCTGGATGGGGGACTGGGTAGCATTGGAGTGGGTGTCAAATGTAGTGTTAGGATGGGATGCTTGATCTGAGTCTGGAAACTGCAGTAGAAGTTGACTAGTTTGTGTAAAGCAATATGTGAAAGAGAGGGGATGACACAGCAGATCCTCAAAGTGTTATTTTATTACAATGTTCATGAGAAAAAAAGTAGATTCCCTGCCAGGGCCACTGCTTGTGTGGGGTCTGCCCATTCTCCCTTAGTGAATTAGGTGAGCTGGCATGTCTAAATGGCCTCATTGTGAGTGATTGTAGGTAAGAGTGGCCCTGCAATGGGATGGCAAGGTGGCCAGCATTGGTTCCTGCTTGGGACCCTGAGATGCTGGGATGGACTCCAGCCAACCAAGACCTAGAGATGGAATAAATCGGTTGGAAAATGAATGAATAAATACAACTGATTGTAAAATAAAAATTGATAGACTTTACAATACATGTATGACACTAACGGATGCAGTATGAAAGTGCTCAGCGAGCCCTCCATGTTTGTGATGGTTTTTGAACTTCATGGTTGGAGGAGGTGCTCCTGACAATTTTTGCGTTTGCAAACATTTTTTCCTTGATTTTCCCCACCACAACGACAAACGCTGTCACTCACAGGTTCATCAAAAAAGGGGCAAATGATTATCTTACTTGTTTCTATGAATCTTTCTTAAATGTATGTATAATTCACATTTACTTCAGTGTTTGCTATTAGAAGTGTTTGGTGACTTTATTTAGAAATTTGGTGATGTTTTTGTGACCAGAAACATACTGTAGGAACCTAACTTTTGTGTATATCAATTAGCTTATGGTAAAATTGGTTTCCTTGTACATTGTGTCACTTAAAGTCAGTTTCCAAGAACCTTACTATTGCCAGGTCTGTCCCGTAGACGCTGACTGACGGATGAAATGAGTACTCAGACACAGATATGTAGTGTAAGAGCAGCTAGGGGACTGCCTGGCTCAAGTGGCCAGACAGCATCCCCAAGAAGCTGGAGCTGCTTGCTTTTTTTCAGTGCAGGTATAATGCCAAAAACCTGGAGCCAACAAAACCTGCAGGTAATTAACATTTATTGTTCCCCTTTCAGGGAACATCACACGCAGATGATCAAAGGTCAGATCTTGGTCAACGTAAGTAAACAAGCCTGTTTAAGATAAATTCCCTCACACTCCCTTGTACCTACTCCTTACCTTCTGCCTCAGGGTTATAGAACAGCTGCCTTCCGCAATTCTGCCCCAGGGCTCTGCAGAACCTTCTGTGCCTTCAGAAGATTTGCATCATTTCCCTATAGTTTTTCCCACCACTCTGACCAATCCCCCACATACTATGATGGTAAGTGATGACTTACTGTTTATAAATCATAACTCGTTCCTTAATTTTGAAGTTTAGTAAGTCTACTTAGTAAGTATAGTTACATGGGGGTGTAGTGGGAGATGAGTCCCTGACACACAAGGACTCTATTATGAAAGTCTTTGTAGACCATTGGAGGCCATGTGAGGTCATTTTGAGTTCTACCTAGCAGAAAATGGCACCATTAATGACTGATAAACTGGAGAGAGACATCTGGTTTGCTCCAATTCATTTTATACATTTGGAGAGA